TTTGTGTTTGCTAACGGCGTTTCTTTCGAATAAACTGGGGAACAAAATTATCCTGAAATTTTCAGTAATGCGATTAAAATAATTAAATGCGACATTTTAATATTTTCTATATTTACTTACCTGACTTATAAGAAGCAATAGAGGATTTAGTTTAGCGTAGTCGGTTCTTTTAGAAAAGAAAGTACCGTCAATTTAAGTAAAGAATGGAACTGGTTCCGAATCTTGCGTCAAAATCTATAGTAGATTCTCATCAATAAAAAAAAACAAAACAATTTTATGAGCTGTTAAAATAAAATACATTTATATGTGCTTTTAAAAAAAGAATATAGCTTAATTTATTAATATATTTTAAGTTCTATTTAACAAAACTGGGTCTAAAAATGTCAACAGTTTAACCACTTTCATCGTATGCTTATTAAAGGTCATATTTCTCCCAGTTCCATAATTTGCAGCATTTCCTTGTTACGTATTTTGAACTAAAGCGTCACGCGCGTTTTGTGCGCGTTTTTGTAGCGTTTTTGGAGATTACAGTGCTTGGGGCTGGCGTTTGTGCCTTTTGGCGCGTAGACCCTGTTTTTGCTTTGGTTTTTTTTTTTGCTGATTTCACAAGTGCACAAACACCAATTAACATTTGCCCAAAGTGCAGCTGACATGGAATAAAAATACAAAAACAACATGTAACGGATACAATCGACTGCGTTATACTCGTTCACAGTCCAATAAAAAACCTTAATCGGCAAATTAATTAAGAGATACGACCCCAGCGAGCGTAGGCAAACAACAATAGTGTTCTTTCCAAATATGGCTTAAGAGCCATAGAATGTGGAAGATATTTTCGCTGCTTGAACGTCGCCCAGTGGACAGAGCCCGAAAACTATAACAATTTCTCGAAAACGGATATACGCATATATATTCCAAATATCAAGACTAACCTCAAACCGGCTTAACAAAATTGCGATAATGCAGTCAGATCGAAAGCCGGGCAAGCATTGCATCAATCCAATATACCCTTTTCATCGAACACGTGAACGTGTATCACAAATGACGCACAAAACGCGTTTGGGGATACACCAGCAAGAGGGGGACGTTTTACCTATTTTTATTAACTGGGCCAAAGGAGAGGTGCTTCATTATTGTCTCCGATAAGCGTTTAAATATCGCGAGGGCGTTTCCATTCGATAGACTGTGACGTTGGGTCATTATAAAATAAGATGTATATGTTTATTTAACGAGCCCATTTCGTAAAGGTTCTACACTCGCAACTAAACGATAAGTCATAAAACTTATTTTTGGCAATCCACAATGCAGTCTAATTATATGAATTTTGGCCAACAGCTGCTCGGACGCAACTAAATCCCGGAATGCCAACTGCCAGCTGTTAAATGCAGCAAGCCTGTTAAAAATGGAACAAAATGGCTCAACTTTTCAGCTTATGTTATTTATCTTATCTTTTCGAGTGGAGACACTTATGAAAATCACATGCCCCACATAAAAAGTCAAGCGATGTGTACATTGAACTTGACTGCTAATTTGGCCAAATATGGCAAGCTATTTCCTTGGGGTAGACGTCCACGTCACGGCAAATGATAAGAATGTGGCAGAGATCTAGTAATCGGAGTATTGAACTATTATCTAACAAATCGATAATATGGTAGAGGAATCTACGAAGAACGAATATAATATAATAACTCTTATTTAATTTATTTTAAATATGTATGAATGAACGTGTGTATGTATACATGTGTGTATGTATGTCTGTTATGTAGTCTGTAGTATGTAGTCTGTTAATAGTCTGCTACGCTGCCTATTGTAAAGGATATAATTATTAACATTGCCTTCATATGCGATACTTATAAATTCAAGTAATACCGTGAGGATTTCATGCGTTGACTATAAGTGTTTTAGGCAGAAATGGCTTTGGCGATCAAATGCTAAAATAGAGTAACAGGATACCAGATCTGGAAATAAACAAAATTAAATAAAAACAAGTAAGAAGCTCTAGCCGGGAGCTCCCGACTAGGGGATCCCCTGAACCCTCTTCTTCCAACATCAAATGCTTATATATATTTTATTTTAGAAACTATATGTCAAGTTTGGTGACTCTAGCTCTTATTATTTACCAAAATTGCCCAAAAAACAGGATATCGATATCGATTTTTATCGATTGCTTGAAAACGGAGTAAGTTATCGATTTTTGGAAACAAACTCGATCTGCGCGGGAACTAGGAGCATCTACATCTAAAATTTCTCTAGTCTCTAGCTCTTATAGGTTCTGAGATCCTTGCGTTCATACATACGGACGGACGGACGGACGGACAGACAGACGGACATGGCTAGATCGACTCGGCTATTGATGCTGATCAAGAATATATATACATTATGGGGTCGGAGATGCTTCCTTCTGCCTGTTACATACATTTGGATTTTGCACAAATACAATATACCCTTATACCCAATTTTAATGGGTTCAGGGTATAAAAAAAGGCGATCAAAAAACTCTTATTTTTGTATAGGGCATGTATGTATGATTGCAAGAATGTAGGTATGTATTTATGTATGCATGTATGTATGTATAAATGTATGTACACATATGTATGTATTTTTGTATGTATGTATGCATGTACATATATGTGCGAGTGTACGTATGAGTGAACCAGTTTTGCTGAACCTGTTTTGCTGAACCAGTTTCGCTGAACCAGTTTCGCTGCTGCACATTCAAAACCTTTTTGTCAATATCGCCCTACTATTCGATTCTCATGATGTCAATTAAGCCTTTAGGTTTTCATGCGTTGATTATAGGTGATATAATCGAAATAGTGTTGGCAACGTAAATAACTTTATATCTTCTCATACTCTAACATCAATTTACGTTTTCTTTCTTTCATTTTATACTTCCTTCTTTCTTCTACTCTTACTAAATTGCGCTCTTTTCTTTTTTTTTAGGATTGTGTATGTCATACTAATTTCCACAATATAGATTCCTAATCTAAGTGATTCCCTCACCTAGTCCGCCCAAAGGGACCAGCGTTTAAGCTCTGCTCCCTTTGAAAAACATAGTTTCTGAAACAAATTCCATTCTAAGTTAATGCTAAGTGCAACTCGCAACCCCAATTTGGATAGAACCCAAACCAGAAACCACATTTGGAAAATATGTGCCCAACATTTTAGTCGTTGCCAGCGCATGCCAAATGTCAAGACCCAGCCCCAGCGTTGACCTATAAATAACTAAAGACAAAATGCGTTCCCCCCCGCAGGTTTTTTGGGCTCGATTCCTGCAGTGGTGACTGTTGCACGCTTTGTCCTTGACTCTGCCCTGCCACGCACACAATTAAAATGATTAATTAAGGCGCAGGACAGCAGGACATTTTACAGCTAATGACTTAATTAAGGCTCGAGCGCTGTTGAGTGTTTCGGCTTAATGTGCTCGCCTCAACAGCCGCCGACCTTTGACCCTTTTTCCGTGTAATTGCCTAGCCGCCTGCCAAGATGTTGGTTTAATTAAAGCGTAGCCAGAGCAAGTGGCTAAATATATGTGTTTTTCGAGCTGAGCCGAGCCGATCCTCCTGCTGCTACTACCTTAGGCTGAGTTGTATCCAAAACGAAATGAACTGCTGCCGGGCAGCTGCTACGATACGCCCCCCTCTTCACGGAGACTGTCACATTATTAAACGCTTCGCTGGCTGATCCTGACAAACGTGACTGCCTATTTTACACCTTGTTTAAGAGCAATCGCACGCGTTTCTTGCGCGTTTATTATCGCTCGCGGCCGCGCTCAATCCACGTTCAAGGCTGCGCGAGTTTCCTTCCTACTTGTAAGCTGTCGATTTGTTGTGCTGTTGTGCAGCTCGCCTTTTGACCAGATCCACATCGTTCCGATTGTCCCAGATTAAATTACAAAATATATTGTCATGTACATTGTCATGATATGATAGTTGATATGTAGTTGCAGATTTCTACCCTGTGCAAGCGAATGAGAAGGGTAGCATAAAGTTATGCAAATATCTGTTACATGAAGAAGCGGGCTGTCCAGTATATGTTAAGATCCACACTTATATCTGAGACTGAATTGTGCCCAATCGTCTATATGAATCCAGGAAATATTTCAGCAAGAGCTACCTTGTTTACTGTGTTAGTTGGTACAAACTCTTATTGGTATAAAAAAGAGGGCTTATGTCGGCGACATTTTAAATTTATTTTTAATATTTGAAAAATTGCTTATGTTCTTTTCATCTATCTTAGGCTTTTTCAGATCTGTTTACAGGGCAACTAACACTCGTGAATTCTCGTTTGCTGCCAACCCTTTTGTTTTGCCTTGATTAAGCACGATAACAATTGATATCTTTGTCGCCGTTCCAATCAAATGCGCATTCCGCCAATTAACTGATTTAGCTGAACAATTTCGTCATAATACATTAGCGGGTATTAATTTTTCATCATCGTCGTCTAGTATAAGTGCACTATAACGCAGCTAGAGATAATTTATGTTAATAAAATTGTAACCGCAGCCTGTCAGCAAATGGCGACAAAGACAGCAAACATTTAACCAGCAGGCAGACACTTCAAATCGAATCGAATCAATTACAACTTGTGCTGCTAATGTAATATCCATTGCTGTCTTTTGTTTTTAGCCAACTGACTGACTGATTAATTTGAACAACTTGCGAGATAAATAACCGTGCGCAATACAAATAATTCTTAACCCATTGCTAGCTATTGGCCTGAAAGAAACCCTAACTTTATTCGAAGACCTAAAATGCTTTATTTAATTTAATTATTAATGAATTTAAATAACAGCTATGCAAATGCACTAAACCATTGAATAATATCTGTTAGGGCCTGTGTGAATGTTGTTTCAATAATTCAATTATTAAACGGAACATATGGAAGATATATGTGAACTTCTGTTTTTCTGGGACGCGAACCTAATAACTCGCTGCTATCGATTACTTGAACAATTCATCTGCCTACGCTAAAAGCGATAAATAAAATAGCTATAGCAGTTTTTCAAATGATTGCTCGATTTATTATTGTTCTTTTGACAATGAGAAAACTATTTTCCGGCACATTTAAAAAACAAAAATCTTGAAATTCCTAAACAAAAATACGTTTTTCCTAGACTCTCTAAAATTGACCCAAAGCAAATCCAAGTACACATTTCCTAGAGCTCAATGCGAATGCGTCAACGGCAATTGTGGGATAAATATTGAGCGTTGCGATTACTTTACGTACGAATATGCAAATTTCAATGGACTCTCGTCGGATCTGTCGTCGCAGCGGTCGCCAGTTGGTCGCCAGTTGGAGTGCCCCTAGCTGGGTGATCGATTATGCTGGAAGTGATTGCAACAGTTGCTAATCATAATAATAATTGATTTGTAAATATTTTGATTTAGATTGCAATGCTAATCAAAGTGCAGCCGGACTGAAAAATTATACATAGATACAAGATCAAGGCGGCAGCTCTTATGTTTCCGCGCAAATTATATATATATATATAATATATAAATCATATATCTAATATTGTGCAGATGGAAAAATTAAGGCGGTAATATATATATAAATATATGTATAAGGAAAGTGAAGAAGTTGTAGTTTCAATGCCTACTTTATATAGCATAGCAAAATTGTTAGTTACCTTAGTTTTTCTTTAAAAATTTGCCTTTAAATGTCATTGCACCATGAGATACTTGCCCAGCAATTGCGACAGCTCTATGGTAGGGATTGGCGGTAACTATTGCCTCTCTTTACGGATTTGCCGGATGTTGCTGATAAACGACTGTCAATAGCCCAAATCACGCTGTTCCACAGACACGTCGCAATCGCCGGCATTGTCTAGACCCAGATGAACGCCATTCTGGCGGGCAGGAGCCACAGCATTGCCGCTCCTCACGGGCCAGCCATCAGCCGGCGGTGGACAGTAATCATGTTGTGCCCCTTCTGCACATCTGGCTACGGCTGCACTCGCTCACGCCCCACTCGACGACGAGCGGCCAGCTGCGTAATGTATATCGTCTTCGACTGGAACAGCGCCCGCTGCTGCAGAACCTGCGCCAGATCGTCTCCGTGCACTGGAAAAGATTATGTCGCAGGGCGTGCCCAGTGTCACAAGTCGCTGATAATACACGGTACGCGATGAAGCGCAATCCAGCGCGGGTTGTGCAGAGCAAGCGAGAGAATTGGATACAGTACTTGGTCCAGATCTTTACGTCGGTATATATTGAAAACTAATCCTACACAAAAGCCTACTTTTAACCAGTTGTCAGTCAATTTAGTTGTCGAAAGTTATCGATCATTTTTCATTTATAACATACATTTAATTAGATGGTGCTATTCCAAAATGAATCTAGGCTCCGATGCTATATGTCCAAATAGTATTCTCAGATTTTATCGATCTATCGCTAAGCTATTAAAAGTTGGTTTTAATACACATTTTATATCGCAGCCAGCAGATTTAAGGACTACCAGAAGAGCCTAGAAATCGCCTTGATCTATCGATATCTTATCGATAGCTATCGACTTATATTACACAATTTTATGTACATTGTGATAGTCTTACATAAAGCCGAAATTATGTAATGCTGCGAAAAGAGCTTACTTTCCATAAAGAAACACTCTTGATGTGACTATCGACTAGCTATCGATAATTATCGATTATACATAATTCCAATAGTTGAGAATTAATTTAAACATTTTCTCCTATATACTTCATCCCTAAAGATATCCAAGAGCCTAGAACAAGCGCTTGTCCCTGTGGGTCGTAAGATCACCTATGAGAGTACATCGGCAGCCATGGAATTATTGGACATAAGAGTTATTTCCGAACAACTGAACTCTGTGCTCATTGATTATATGGTTAACAACGATGTATATTTGATGGACCAATCCCGAACAGCGCTTGGCGTACTTGATTAGAAGCCGACATAACATATCCAGCATTTTCAAGAACGTGCTATTTTTTATCCTATTTGTAGTGTTGTAAAACGCTCGCAATAAACCAAATTGAGCAGCTACCAACTGGTTTAAAGCCGTCGCGTTGCAGACTTAATTCTAATTTAGTAGACTTATCACGCCCCTGGGCGTTTGCCAGTCCATAAACTGCGCATAAAATCGTTAGTTTGGCCAAAATCAAGATTTTCAAGCCAATATCTTGGCCATTGATTGATGGAATCGCCGCTTGAAAGTGGTTTAGCCAGTTGCAGGGACTTGGTTGCTGGTTCTATACAAATTTATGAATGCATTTAAAACTATATTTCTATGAACGCAACAGGTGCGGTAGAATTTATGGTAAACTTGATACGATTTCTGACCCATTTCGTTAAGCAGATGCGAGTGATTCACTTGATGAGCCAACCGGCGCCTGTCGCCAGCTTCTCTCAGCCACATGAATGTCATCATCAACTGGCCAAAATGAAAACTTATGCGTTCGACACATGCAACATGGCAATCCGAATGCGAATCCATTCGCTGCATTCCATGGTGCGGGTGCTTCCCACATGACGACAACGACGACAGCTAAATGAATCTCATTTAATTTGGCAAAATATTTATGCATTCCGCATTGGCTTTGATTTCTTTGGCTTTGGGCTAACAATTTCAGCTTTTGAGACACGCCCAAAATGTGCCGGCCCCTAATTTATGAGCGTTATGAATCAAAGAAATCTGTCACACAACTTTATGACACTTTTTTTCGAAAGATTTTTTTATTTCATTTTTATTTTATTTTTGTTCAACTTGTTGCTGGCTGACATTTTAATTTGGCAGCCATCGATGGCAATTTAATAAATTAGGCGCTTGAGTTTTAATGGGATCGCATGGTCTGGCCAGTGTTGAGCAATTTACGGGCGGCAAGTGAAGGGCATCTTCACACACTGGCCAGGCAAATGGGAACCTTGAACCACGAATCCGCTGAAACTGATATTTGGATTGAACAGAGGGAGCTTAGAAGAGTTTTCCTTAAGAGGATATAAGTTCATTTTTAAATAGTTCATTTAAAATTAATATCAAATCAAACAAGAGTTTAAATAACAAAGTTAATTTTTATATTAACCTGATATATTTTAAAAAATAAAGAATGTTTAACGTTTCATGATAGAATTTCATTATTATTGTTTTTTGCTTCTTTTCAAATTATTTAAATAATATGAAATATATGCATATTTAAAATTCCAAAGTTTTATAAATTTCAAGAATTTTTTCAATTTGATTTTGTATATTTAGAATATATTAAAAAATATTTATCACTTCAATCATTTCTCAAATATTTCAAATATTTCTAGGCCTAAGTTCTTAAATTTCTCTTTTTATACAAAAATTCCTAAGCTCAGACGCGTTTCAGCTTTCATCTTATCTATGGTAGCTCCTTGTCTTGTTACGATTCCCAGGCATTGCCCGGGCAGCAGACAGACACCTGTCTAATGATGGGGCATGTTGCATCTGAGAAACTCTTGAAGCTTTAATGTGAGCAATTTTTATTGTGGCTGCAACGAAATCGATATCAATATCGCGGCTATTAACCAAATCAGTGGAACGGCTATCGCGCGATAGACAACAATTTATGGAACTTGCCAGCAATAACAATTAATAAAATTAGAAGAAATCAAGAAAAAAAAAAAAAACAGAAAAAAATAAGCTACAGCGCAGGCAGCTCTGGTGGCCAATGGGACATTGGGGGCTCGGGTTACGGCCATATCAAAACTTAATCACGAGACAAAGAGAGGTATTGAGGATTGAGAATTCTGGAGTTTTGTGTTTTTTCCTTTTCATGCGTCTAGCGCCAGTCGTAAAGAGCTGCAAACCGGCCCGTTGAACCGTTAAGACAAGCAGCCTGAATTAGTATAGAGAGTCTGTTTAGAGTCTGGGAGAGTCTAGAGTCTAGAGTCTAGACTGTAATCCTTTGGAGATCTTGTTGCGCGATAAACTTGGCTCTGCGTCTGATTAGTGTGGCCTAATGTGACAGCCAAGCGACGTGTTGCAGATGCTTGGTCGCGCGTTCCCTAACTGTAGTTTTTTGACTGATGTAATTGGAGCGGCGGCCAAGCATTGTTGACCAGCCCGTCCCGACCGCATAAATCAAGGTGCAACAACATGTTAGATGCCGGCCGACGCAGCCAACTTGTTGAACAGGCCCAACCGTGAAAACCGGCTGCTGTTGCCGGCGCCCCCAACAAAAGAATACCACAGTTGTCCTTAGCTAACGCGTTAGTGTGCTTGACACCCTTTCTATACCCTGTACCTAGTGAAATTAGGTAAAAGTAGAATAACTTGCAGAATGTACCCACACAGCTTAGTTTAGTTAGCCTTGTGCGTCTATTGATGAATATATAAATGGATTGTTTATACGTAGAACCAGTCTTGAAAATGATCAATTTCCACATATTCCTAAATTTGTAATACATATAACATACTCAGATCATGTTTTTCTTACTCAAACTAAAATGTTGGTAAATATTGGAGACACAGCCCTGATGTTTGGTATGTAAACACATATGAATGCTATCTTAGAAGGTTGTAAATATCATATTGATTACACATTAATTATCAAAGTTATTAACGAAGTAAAATTTGAAAATTTGAAGAAATCGTACAGCGTAATCTAAATATAACTAATAACAATATGATGTATGTTGCGAAGCTGGGCATAGGATATCTTCTCGTCAAACACATTCGCCTAGAACACACGTGTGTTATTTGAATGCATGATGCGGCATGAGCTGTTCGTGCCCCAGCACCTGTCCCTGCCCCTTCCCCCACCCCACATTTGCCGTTAAGATTTACGAGTATGTGTTCGTTTGTGTGTGTGTGTGTGTGTGTGTGTGTGTGTGTGTGACAGGGCAACGCCTTGCTTAAATCACGCGTGTGGTCCTCATTTAATTACAACTCAATGAGTTCGACCGAACTCGCCCAACAGGTGGTGGCCGCAGAATTACCCAACAACAACAAAAATATATACCATATTCCCTCCTCGGAACACCCCATCGGAAACCTCGAGGCAGATGCATCAACTGCTGCCCAAATCACTTGACACAAAATGTTCTTTAACTGATTGAGCATTGACATTGAACTCTTTTATTTTCTTATGGCATTCAAGTGTTATCAGAAACGATCGAACGAAAATAAATATCTGATCAGTAAACCAGCCGAGTTTGTGGGAAGACCCCAAACGTTGACATATCTCAATAATCAGTTTATTAAAGAGAAGGCGCACAAATGTCTGAAAAAAGCATAGGACACCAGCTCATATATCAAAAACTCATAAATTTACCGTTAGATGATGCGTTAATCGTTTTAATATTCAGCTCAATATTACCGAAAAGCTGGTTTAGTGAGGGAAAAATTTTGACTTGGAGCTACCTTTTGTAGCTCCTAAATGCCAAACTAATTAACTTTCGTACAAGCGGAGTTAACAAAAGAATAACGTAAAACAAACGATTTGCTTTCCAATGCCGAATATTAAGTACCCTTTTATCCAATTCTACAGGAACTGATCTCTGATGCTGGATTAACGCAGATTTAATTTTTAATATGGTTTGCTTCTGGCTCCGATTCATTTTTGTGGCTTTGTACGAAATACAAATTTTAACCAATTTGAGGCAAATGTTGAACAGATATTGTAAGAAAACTTGTTTTTAATCTAAAAGTTTTATACAATACCTGCTGTAAGCGATAACAACTCGTCTATATTACTAAACATTCTTCTTCAATAATATACATTTGTCTTTGTGTTACACATTTTATGACTTAATTAGTAATCCCAGCGCAAGAGTATTAAAGAAATACATGTATTTGGCCTCAAGGCTGGCGCTAAGTTTGGGGCCAAGCTAAAACAAATTTTTCTTATTCTTTACTTTTTCTTTTTTTGGGCGCTGCAATAAAAAACGTTGCGGTTGCAAGTCAAAAGCTAATTGAAACGACTTTATTACTACCAAAAATTGAACTTTTTAAATTGTGTATAAACGCATGCCTCTGTGTTTTTAGCCGCAGGATATTCATAACAGAGACAGAAGTGGAGCGGGGGGAGAGGTGGAGAGGGAGAGCAAAGCGAAGGCGTCAACAGAAATGTTTATGTGCCAACGGATATTTATACGTTTTAATGGCTTACGAATTGTATTTACCAAGTTGCAGACGGAAAGACTGGCGCTTGGGCCGTTGGACAACGCTAAACTTTTACAACTTCGCAGGAAATGCTGCTGGCGAGCCAAAAGGAAACACAATCCTTGGCATAAATATGAGCCATACAAAAGATGAAATGAAACTAAAACAGAATTTAATAATTTACGAGCTCATAACTGGTAACAGAGAAAATCGAAACCCCCAGCGCCCGATGGGACCCGACTTGTCGTCTTAAAGGTTTTCGTGTTGAAAACAATGCCATCCGTTTCATAGAGCCCATGAGATGCCAGTTATGGAGCGTGTGGTGTCAACTGATCTTGCGGCGCAGACTGAAACTTCACCTGTGGCCTCTTCAGATGGACCAAAGGGCGCAGCTCCTAAACAAATCTATTGAAATCGATATTTTCTTGTTTTTGCTTGCGGTTCAGAACATTTCTATTGAATTTGATGGGCCAACAAACCGGTTTTGATCTGAATCGTATAGCATTGATATCCAATTGGTACATTTGTTTTTCCTCTAAATTATTTCAACATTTTTATTGATTCGATTGGCTGTGAGTCATTTGAGCTTTGGACTTGAAATTGACGCAACGGTTTCAGGGTGCGGGCGCGTCATCGCGCGTATTTTGGACATGCCTAATAAAATAATCAAAATTAGCGAAAGTGAGTCAAATGTTTGTTGAGTGTTCCGGTGAAAAACCGCAGCGCTCTACGCTGCCAGGATTTAGAAATAGTTTTTGGAAATACGTAAATTGGAAACTTGTGTGAATTTGGGCACGTAGCACACCAGCACGTCGTTGGGCGCAGCATATAGCTGTCAATATAAAAACATATAAATTGATTTACAAAGTCAATAAGAATTTAAATGTTTTGGGGTGTTTTCAATTGAATTTCTGCTGAGAATTCAATTGAATTTCTGCTGAGAATTCAATTGATAAAAATCAAAACGAAATCTGCACAGCATTCAATATAGTTTTGGATACTGGTAACGTAGTAACACAATCAATTCAAAGAAATTTGCAAACAAAAAAACATTTTTTTTAGATTCAAAAGCGCGCCACTTGCCGACATGACGCATACAACTCTGTGTACTACTTTGCCTAGGTGGCAACGCTATGCGCGCCTTACGCGACGAATGCACAGCGCATTACGTTGCTTACGTTTTTCTATTTGTCACTTCGTTTAGTTTTTTCTTCCAAGCAGCGCGTAGAGGCCCTCCGCAATGGCAAAAGTAGTGGCGCGTTTAACAGTTAAATCTAGTGCACTTTTAACCCAACGACCAAGTGTAACCGTGTATAAAGCATGTTGCCGAAATGCAAGCACAGGATTTGCGAATAAATTGCCACCAAGGAACACACATCGTCTGCTGGTTCTGGTGGGCGGCAGTGTCGCCTCATTGGCGGCATTGACTGCGTTTATTCGACTGAGAAGCGCTGCGAATACAGCGAATGCAATGCGAAAGAAGAGCCTGGTAAACACAAACAAAATGAAAGACAAAAGCAGCTAGTGATAACAGCGCATTTGTGTGCGTGAGTGTGTGTGCATGTGTGTGTGCAGCAGAATATGGAAAAGTCAATAAATGACCGTAAAAGACTCGCGCAGTTATTTTTAGCTTGGGGCAGCTTACGTTACGCAGCGCAGCCAGCTGTTGCGTTTTGCCATAACGTAACGTCAAACAGCTGATTGACGTTCAGTGTATGTTGTTTTTGTTTTGCTCGCCGCATTCGTTGCGTTTTTTAGCTGCCTTTGCTTAGATTGGCTTTTAATAAACAATAACAAACACGCGATCAGGTCCCTCGCCTACCCCCGCTGTCCTAGAACAGCTTAATTTTTATTACACATTTTGGACTAGCTGTAGGACGGAAAACAAAAAGTGGTTCACGGTCTTTATCACTTTTTGGGGGGACGCCGTTTTCGTTTTGTTGTTGCGTGCTCAAGTTCATTGAACAACAATAAAACCAACAACACTAAAAAACTTGTCTTCAAACCTGTTGACACAGTCAGTTTTTTGTTTTTTTTTTTTTTGCTTTTGTTGGTGTTAGGTGTTGCTAAACCCCAAAACTGTTGACGCGCCGTTGCGTGTCGGCTGGTCTGATAAGCGTTTTTTTTATTTTGTTGTTTCTTTTTCGGTGGTGTGAAGCACTAATATTTACATTAAGTACTTCGGGTAATTAGTTGTTAAGGCTTGAGCAACATGTAATACATAAAGCTCTTTATTGTCGTTTGTATTTAATCATGCATTTTCTGGGGCAAACAAAGACTTGCTCTGTCCTGCGTTATTTTCCCATTGATGCCTAAAGTATAATATTCTTGAGACTATATTTTATAATATTTCCATTTATTGAACTCCCCCGTCTTGCACCCGAAGTTGGTGAAATTTGATAAAAGAAGACGTTTCACTTTTGTCAAACCTGGAATTTATTAAAAAAAATTTATTTACATATTGGCAATGATTGATCCATGAAATGCTCTGTGTTAGACTTTGGGTCCATAATCTAAGGTCATGTTTAACAACAGATTGTTTAAATTGCGACAAACGAGTGTTTTGTCCATTTTGAAATGTATTTGAGAATTTATACAAAATCGTTTAATTGATGTTACTTTCGTATCATCAGGCACAACGGAACGCAGATAAATAATGAGTTCAATTAGTTGTAGGAAAATGGAATACGATGTTGTTCTCAGAACTTAGTTTGCTTGCAACATTATCTAATCGTACTAAATGGTGGCTTTTATACTCGTGGAAGGATGTCAGCAAATTTCTTATTAAGTGTTTCAATAATAGAAAAATATAGCCTTGCTCGTCAATTTGAACTCGGAAACTATCGTAGTTGGAATCAACAAATTTCGTATATACAAAAGCCTTGCCGTCGTCATTCAAACGAAATCATTTTGACCCGACTACAGGGTATCTCCTAGTCAACCAATTTTTATAGTTGTTTTTCAGCGACATTCTTAGACACTTTAATACGCCAATTTACATGTTCATATCATAGACAATCTATGTGATCTTGAATATGTAATTGGCTTTGCATTAATTTCAACATAGGTGCCACAAAAAAATGCTTTATGTGCCGCAACTGTGCATATTCTTTGCCACACACCTTGAAAATCTGAGGAACGACCGCAACAAAAACAACAACAAGAATAATAATAATAATGAAAAGTGCATTTGGTTTTTGTTGATAAACTGTCCAAGTAGCTGCGAACTCCGCCCACGCACCTGACAACGTGCCCAGAACGTACGCTGACACGAATGCCAGCTACCACAAAATTTATCTATCAATCGATCTGGCTAGTGTGGATTTGGATACACCCACCATAAGGCCAGCAGGCGGGCGGGCCCAATGCCAGACGCAGGCGTGGCTATGTTTCGGGCCGCAGCGTCCCTGACATGTGCCAAGTCCCTGAGCCAAGTTATGACAACCACGACGACGACGACGACTACGACGACGACGACTGCTTCTGATGATGACGAATGAGCTTTAATTGTTGCCTATAAAGAATAAAAAAAAGAAAATACAGCGCCTGCAGAGCGCCTGCGGCTCTCCTGTCTGGTCTGGATGATGTCAGCCCAGTTATGAAGAATTAACACACGATTCAATTGCAGCGCGTGGGCGTGAATTGAGGCTGGTGGCTGCTGCACATGTCTAACATTCAAATTGCGCGCCGGTCTCTGTCTTATTAAGACCAAAACCTCTTGAAAATGGTTTTCGAAAGGGGTATAATCAACTTGTACAGGCAGAGAAGAGAGAGAGAAAATATATGCTTGATCAGTTAACAAAGGCAAGAGCTATAGATTTTCAGGCATCGTAAAGGGGAATGGTATAGAGGGAAAAGCGGAAATAGTTCTCTAATTAAAAAGTCTTTCAACGTAAGTTGGAAGCCGATCTTGTGATAGTCAAATAGATTTATTCCCCGGTTGCGGGTGGAAATATTCGGAGCCCAGACAGTCAATCGGGACAAACAGTTTTATATAAAGAGATTACGAGTGTGTGTGTGTGTGTGTGTGTGTGTGTGTGTGTAGGCTGCAGGGTATCTGTATGTCTGGCACTCACAATTGGAGCAATTTGACTTGTTCTTTTTCGGGGGACATGTGCCCCAGACAGTCGAATTATGCATGTGGCCTGCAAAATTGAGTCATTCCTTGGGGCGGCCACTGCCCACATTTTGTGTGTGTGGCATTAAATGTCAGATTTATGGAGCTTAAGCCAATTTATTATATGAGCATATGTGCCGCCCCCCAAAAAAAATCTTGTGACCAAATCAATTTGGCACTTTATTGGCCCTGGCTGTTTAGCCATGCTTAACGTGGGAATCCTGTCCAGCGCCAGCACAGCCCATTAATATTACACTTTAAAGGCATACACGGCAGACTGCAAATCAGAGTATATATCACATCTGATATTCATAATAATTTTGCTTGCAGTTGAGGTCGCATTTAAACATTAATCAAAACGTCACCAGACGCTCAGCCTGGTTTCCGATATCGATCGGTTATTTGTCGTCTGCATTTGCCGCCTTTGTGCGCCAGCGGCGGAAATTTCTGGCGATCCAATCTGGCGCTGATTTATGCCCATAATACATGTGCACATGTACATATATGCTATATATATTCTCCCACTATACTGAAACGCATATCAAGTTACCCAACGATTCATCTTTTATCGTCTATCAATAAAGCATCGCGATGATACCGACTTGGAGAATGTTAAACTGACCGCACGTGAGCGCCGCTTCATTAAATTCGCTTCCGTGGAGTACGAGGATCAGCTGTATATGACGCCACAGGATTTTCTGGAATCTGTTGTGGAGCAGGAACCCAGACGTGAGCATTAAAGTTATTTAATAAACCTAATTCAATTCAATAATTATTGATCTTTCAGCTCGTCTGAAGCGTCGCGTGCTTAGCAGCGAGGAGGTTGAAAAATACAAGGACAATACGCCGGCAGTCAAAAAGGGTTCATCACGTCTCTTTCGCAATCTCAGGGACAAGGGTGTGTATGCCTAAAATAATTATATATTTATATGCAATATATATTAATATACATTTTTTTTTTTTATAAAACAGGCATTGTTTCCTACACGGAGTATTTGTTCTTGCTCTCCATTTTGACCAGTAAGTTTTGGAACGCAATTGAAACGACAAGAAACTCAATAAAATACGATCTGTAAAATCGTTAAATATACACTAAAATCTATATACATATTGTATGCTTGTCATAATTCAAAGAGAATGAGCATAGCATTATTGCAATATTAGTTATATCAAATAATAATTCGGTTCACGAGATTCTAAAAAGGGAAATATAAATTTGTGAAAGTTTGATTTATTTTAGTAAAAATGTTGTTTAAACTTTGTTATGATAATTATATTTATATATATTATGATTTTATTATGATAATTATGTTTACAGAACCCAAATCTGGCTTCCGCATTGCCTTCAACATGTTCGACACGGATGGCAATCAGCGTGTGGATAAGGCCGAGTTTCTAGTCGTAAGTGTATAAAGTGATCAATTTATCTGCATTTGTATATTATTTATGTGATCCCTATCATTTGTTATATTAATTATTTTTATTTGTTTCTTTATAATATACTGTTTCTTTTGTCTAATCCTAATTTAACAGATTATTTCCATATTGGCCAGCGCCTTCAAGTCCATACAAGATGTTGACCCAAAAACCAAGGAAATTGTAAGATTTCATTTGATTTATTATTTCTCTATGTTTTAAATAATTTTTAATTCTATCCAAAATCAAATAGCCAGCGTTAGTGACAGGAATTTTATAAAGAATTTAGTTTACATTTTGTTTATTTTAATGTTATAATTTATTTAATAATACGATACAGATGCGACGCTTAGTACCTTATGAGGAACCCACATCGATTAAATCTTTAGCCGTACCACGACCCAAGGGTCTTGTAAGTCTATGAGGAATTTACCAAAAAACAAAAAAAAAACTATAGCTTTGCTTTCAGAACATAAAAACGCGTTGTAAAATATGCGCAGAACGCATACGTAGAAGCTTAGCATAGTTACGTTTGATTTCACGTTGCGTTACGTTACGTTATGTTATGTTACGCTATGTATAATGTTGTTATGTCCAAACCTGTGCACCTACCTGCCTTGTATATTTTGCTAGCGCCCAGTGCAATTAAGCCCTTAAATTTTTTAAAATTTTGTATGCTTTAATATTTTTCTTACGTTATGCACTTACGTTATATTTTGTTCTTTGCGTTCTTTTTTGAAATTCCTATGCCCAACTGTAACCGAAAACCTTTACTTAACCTAACCTAACTTTTCTTCTCTCCCAATCTAACCAAACCCCAACTTTCCAACAATGCTCCCATCCCAACGTATTGTATATAAATCAAATCCCCAGATGGAGCGCATTTTCAGCGGCGCTTGGAGAGAAAAACACGGCGATCAGGCGTCGGAAAATCAAGATGAAAATTCCGATACGCCACACGAGGTAAGGTTGAGCATGCGCCTGTGTCTTATGGTGTGACTAAACCGAATATTGTTAATAAAATATATAAGTATACTAATAGTATTTTCAATTTGCAGCGTAATTTTGCGGATGACGCTGAGGGTCTGCAGCGACGTCATGTGGTGTCCACCACCCTGCAGCTGCATCTGTTTGGCAAGCGCGGCACCGGCGTCATCAACTATGACAACTTCTATCGTTTTATGGACAATCTGCAGACAGAGGTGCTCGAGCTGGAGTTCAATGAGTTCTCCAAGGGACAAAGCTTTATAACCGAACTGGACTTTGCCAAGATCTTGCTGCGCTACACGTATCTGGCCACAGATGAGTACGATGTGTTTCTGGAGCGTTTGCTGCATCGCGTCAAGGATGAGCAGGGCATATCATTTAACGATTTTCGTGACTTTTGTCATTTTCTCAATAATCTCGATGATTTCACCATAGCCATGCGCATGTACACGCTGGCCGATCGCTCTATATCCAAGGGTGAGTCGTGGTCAATGCGTACATAAATCTGTTAAGCTCATAAATTTCTATTTCCTGAGCAGATGAATTTGCGCGCGCTGCCAAGATCTGCACTGGCTATTGCCTCAGTCAGCATATGATTGATACGGTCTTTGCCATATTCGATGCGGATGGGGATGGTCTGTTGCATTATAAGGAGTTCATAGCCATTATGAAGGATCGGTTGCATCGTGGGTTCAGAGTAAGTGGTCTTTTCTTTGAATACAATGAGGCACTCGATGCATACGATGATCCCGAGTATCCCATGTTTCAAGCCTGGCGCCATAGCGTCTGTCGGCAATTGGACTTCTACATTGACAGCGATGCGCTGTGGCATGAATAATTTAATATAAAACTGCTTTTGATGTTGTTCCTCTTATCGCTTATGTGTGTGCGTGCGCGTGTTTTCTCATTTGTGTGTGTGTGTGTGTAATTTGTTTTAAGCATTAATCATTGTTTGTGCTTAAGCTTTTTATTTATTTCTATTAAATTAATATTCTAATTTGTATTGTACCAATTGTTTAACGACTCAATTGGACTTAGGCACGTCGTATAAACATATGTTTTGATTATTTTTAGTTCTTAATTGGCCATAAACATATTAAAATTTATATATACACAATAAATTGGCTTTTTATTCAATGTTTACTTTAAATGCCTAATACACAAATTGTTACGTATACATAATTTACATGCAGCGATTCGTTTTTAAAATGTTAGCCTTATGCCCGCAATTAATTAAACCCTTTTTTATTGTACTCCATTTAAATTTAAATTCTTTAAAAACATTTATTAATTACTGTTGTTGTTTGTGTGGAATCACGCAGGAATACCACAATTAATTTCAGAGTATTTTTTTCACGCCTTTCATAAACTGACAAATAATCACCTTCATTTGTTAATTGTTTTGTTGTTGTTGTCGTTGTTGTTGATCAGCTAATCAAATATTTTGTTGTGCCAAAAACTTTGTTATTGTTGACACGCCGGACTCACAGACCCATAAAAATAAAGACAGGTCTAAAGCTTCAATTTAGTCAACGCGTGGCAAACACTCGTGCTTTTTTAATGCTTTTTAGCCAACCAAGATGCTGAGATGAACTATAAAAAAAAACCAAAAACACAAGCGCTGCCGAAAAAAGGTTGGTTCTAGCCCGTGTGGAACCTACCCCAGTTAATTTTTCGCTCCATATTGCGTCTCATATACTTGTCGTATCTCCCACTAATTCGCACTTTTTCACTAAACTATGTTTTCGTTAGCCCCACTTAGCCTCAACTAATCGATTAAAACTATTGCCTTACAGTCCGTAGCCAAATCGGAGGGCTGGGACGCCTTCAAGCATTGTCTGTATCATGAAATGGCTGCACTAAAGAAACCTTCCTATTAAACGCTACCGAAACCCAGCAAAAGTTTGTTGATGTGAAGAAACAAAAACTACGCCAAAGTGAAACAAAAACAAAAAACTATATTATCAAATTCTAGTTACAAATTAATTTCTTCTAAAGAAACACAAAAATCTCCTGTTTTAGCTCCAAATTTATAAGAAATTTATTTATTATTGTTAAATTATAAAAGTAATTTATTAATGAGTCTGTTATTAATATAAATTTGTAATTTCTTAGATGATTTCAAATTTATATATACATTTCACACAAGAAATGAAGTTGTTAACAAATAAATAAATACATATTTATATAGTTAAGCACTTAATTATTTATTACTTGCGAAAGAGGCTATCGGCGAGTATAGAAATATGCAGGTTCCTTCTCATAACAGGAGTTAGGCTCAAAATCTCGGGTAAATATGCTGAGAATCTCAAATGATATAACTCCTTCGATCCATTGGCATTCAAAAAGCCCAATTTTTCAACTTGTAAAAAATGGGATTGGTTCGGAAATCAACATTTATCGTTCCCGGCATCAGACTATATAGGAGCAAGGGCTAGGGCCATTTTTCGTTTTATAAGCTTTACAATAATTTACAAATCTGTTGAAAATGTAATCCTGCAATTCCCTAAACACATTTTACACAAGCAATGCAAATGCAATACTTAAAAACATATAAATAAAAAAATTTGTTTATATAGTTAAATATTTCATTTTTTATTAAATATATCAAAATGCAAATGAGGCTGTTGAAGGGTATATGCAAAGTCAAAAAAAAGGTTTTTGGTTTCTATTGCGAAATGCTTAATACTAAGTGCATTATTAATTGAATCTATAAGAATAACTTAGCTTTAGGTTACGGTTCAGAGAAGGCTCTTCGACTCTCGATTTCTGTTCCTGTTTTTTTTTTGGGTCTCTTAACTAATGCAAAATTATACATTTGTATAGGTATATAAAACTTGCACTATTTTCTATATAAATTTGCACTTGGGCATTAAACAGAATTACAATAAATTATCACAGTTAAATTGAGTGCATTCGATAAACACACTTTTCATATCGTTACACTACGAGTTTATATATATTTACATATATATATATAAAATATTTTAAACTTTTATCATTTGCTTAAATGTTGCGATCAGTACGGGTTTTGATAGATTTAGCTAAAAAGATTCAAATGAAAATGGGGAATTGTTTTGGAATAGTTGCATAGATAAATTGCACAAGTAAAATTATAATAATTATTGCTAATTATAAGAAAAATATTATTTTTAAATATAATAAAGGATTAATAACTAGTCAAGTTTAGTTTAGTTTTACTTCTAGTCCGTCATTGTCGAAGGCATTGTCCAACTAACGAATTTCTCCTTCTCCTGCTCCTTACCGGCCCCGGCGTAATTCCTGTTGCTCGGCTTGGAACGTCGAAATTTAAAATTGGCAAAGACATCGCGTTTGCCCATTTCCGCTTCAAGTGCCTGCGCATCCAGCTCCATATTGCGCTGCAATCCCACGCCGGGCATTGGCTCATCGTTAATCTGTTTGCGAAAGTTGTATGCCCCCTTGCGCTGCTTAAGCTGCTGCTGCTGCGCCAGGGATGATTGCGGCGCTGGTGGAGTCTTCTTGGGACTCCCCATCTTGGGTAGCGGCTTGGGATCGCGCATTAGCATAGGAAACATTGCATCGTCCGCATCAAAGTACCAGGGACGCGAAAAGTGATAGCCGGTGCTGTAGTACGGCTTAAAGATGGGCTCATTTGAGCAAATACTGAATGCATGATAGGCATGCGAGATGAGCTGCGGAAAGCGTTCCACCCAATAATTGGTAAACTCGTGCGGTATGCAGCCAAGCAGCTCCTGTGCCTCGGGTGTCAGCTCGTGATAGTGATGTTTCTTATTGCGCAGTGCACGCAACAAATCCCGCACACTAGCGCCCATATAGCCACGATATTTTCTTAAATCATCCGTTATCAATGGATCCAAATGCATGTTCCAATCGTCGAGAACAACAATGCGTCCATTCTTCTCCAGCGATTTGAGTGGCTCGGCATGAAACTGCAGCTTCTCCACCCGATCGCTGACATCCTGCAAAAAGCTAAGCATTTTCGGCTCATCCCAGAAGAGAGGATGGTTACCAATGCAGCGCGCCGGCGGACGTGACTGTGGATCTTTATGTATCATATCAGATATGAGCTGCTCCGCCAGTACCTACAAAGAAGTATTTGGAAATAGAATAATATGTATAGCGCTTTTTAATTGGCAGCTTGTTATTTACAATTCTGCTATCCTCTCGGTCATCTTCAGCGCGCAGCTTGGACAGATTGTATTCATGCGAGAGTATATTTGCCTGACGCTTGAGATTGTCGCCAAAGGCATGATGGCCCCCGCTCAGCACATAGTAATAGACACAGCCCAACGAAAAAATGTCCACAGCTGTAGTCTGAAAACACACTCAAAGCATTATATACAATATTTAATCTTTTATGCGAGCAATATAACATACGGTTCGCTGAGCGCGCATCATCTCGGGCGCAATCCAGCCATCGGTGCCCGTAACGCCCGAGCGACGCGAGAAACTGGTGCGTCCGAAATTGAGTTTTTTGCACAGACCAAAGTCCGAAATCATAACGCGTACCTTGCCCTTAGGATCGGGCAACGACAGCAGCACATTCTGTGGCTTTATATCGCGATGAACTGCAAGTAGAGGAGCAGAAGGAAATTACATGACATATTACAAGCAAGCAGCCAGGTAATCTTATCTCTTGATCAATCAATCAGTTTCAGATAGATATAAATATAGAAGTGAATCTTACCAATATCCAGTGAATGCAGATGACTGAGTCCAGCGGCTGCCTGGACCAGCACTTGCCAAATATCTATATACTGACGCAGCTCCATGGAACGTTCGCCCTCAGTGTAGTCCTGAAGCGTGGCGGCGCACAGTTCCACGGCTATATAGCGAAACTGACGATCCTGTTCGGTGCAAAAGTAACGCACCACATTCTCATGCGCATCAGATTCACGTAGCAGAGCCACTTCGCGATCGGCAAAGGTAAAGCATTCTGGCAGCAATCGTTTCACAGCCACAAAACGCTCCTCGAAGTTACCCTTAAACACAAAGGTACCTTCACAGCCCTTGCCCAGAACTTCGTTGGAATTGAAACTAATCTTGCCAACGCGCACATTCCCATCGCCCAGATCAAGCAGATCCTGAGCACTGATGTTGCTGCCATTGCTGCCCCTGCTGCCATTGTTAGTGCCAGCGGCGGCCTGCTGTGCCATCGTCTTAGATCCATTCTCGCTCTGCTTCTGCAGCTCCCGCATGGTGCTGCACGTGTACCAGAAAAGCGCCACCATGCCCAAGACAATGACAATCAGTATTTGATGCACCTTGCCACTGGGATGATCCATGAACCATTCGTTAATAAAAGCCTGCACCTTATTGCTGTTGGCCATAATAATGGTCTTGGTGCGATTGATGGTATTTGAGCGTGTCGGGTCAATGGAAATCTCCACCATCTCCGGTTCCGTTTGTACGCCTATATCGGCGGCATTCTTTTCATTATTTGCCAATAGTCCATAGCCATCATTGTAGTTGTGTATGGTAGCCAAACTGAGCACATCCTTGTTCGCCGATGGTGTTGGAGACAAATGCAAATTGCCCTTGTTGACCTCATTGGGCATGTTGTAATGTCCCAGCATAATGCCCGGATTTTCCTGTAGCACATCATTGATATAAACGGTACGTGGATCGTTATCCTGTTTATTGTTTAACTCCGCGACGGGTCCATCGAGCAGTTTGATAGGCGGCGTTGTAGATATGCGTGGCGTATTCTTATCCACCAGCGAGGGAAGAGCATAGAGACCACGCTGATGTTCGCCCACATACAATGATTGACTGTGGAACAGAAAGTGGGTAATTACTGGAAAGATATCAATTGGAAATGCAAGTCATTGTTTCTTACAATAGTTTTACAGTATTCACATTGCCCGTCTTCGACTCCTCCAGTATGGCCTCGTAAGCTTCATCGGAGACTGTGGTAAAGGGCACGCTGAGCAGCCCATCCGGACCCAGTAGAAAGGCGGCCACCACGGGACTGTTCAGATCACGTTGCCATAGAAATTTGCCCTGCTTGCGATCCAGGGTAACAATCTGGCCATTGCTGGTAGTGGTCAAGTGAATATACTCTATAAACGAAATCAGAGATAAGGACTAGGCACATGTAATACTTTTCTATATTTTACCATATTCCTTGGCTAGCTCTGGCGGTGCACTGAGCGCATTGTAATCATAGAAAGTAATGTTCCAGGGCTTGGCATTCTTATCCTTAGCTTGACTGTCGTACATCATGACCGTATACTGTGTGCGTCCGAGATAGATAGCACGCGATGTGGCCCAGCCAATATGCTCACCATCTTTACCCTCCATTTGGGCATCACCGAAGCCCATGACCTTCTCACGTCTGCCCGTCTTTGGATCGACCATATACCAGGTGTCGCTCTTCTTGCCCGAGTACAAAATGCCATCGGAAGAACGGCACGGCGCATTGGCCACCAACTGAGGTATCGTATAGGGCAGCTTCTTAAGGCTGCCCATTTGACCGAGCTGATAAATGCTGCCGTCTCTAGGGTCCGGCAGATAATGTGGAACCTGCACATTTTGCTGTGGTTCCGCTACAATGGGTGGATCTGAAATAAACAAATAGAACAGCGAACAAGTTTAAGTAAATTTAACTACTACCCGTATCTTTTATATCGATATAAGGCGTACCAAAACACTTGAGCAGATATTTACAAAAGCATGTGCATGTGCGTGTGGCATATATGCAATTATTTGCTTATCTTTTATCTTTATCTGCGCTACACGAGAGCTACAAGTCGTTTATTTAAGATTATATTTAAAGAGGTCATTTTAATATAATTATAAATCTTAGAATTTTTAAGTTCAAAAAAATTTCGAGAGGAAAAATACGTTCAAAAATAACGATGGGGGTCTTTTGTGCTTCCAAATCAAACAAGTTGCTATAGTTGGGTAAGTCTTAAGTCGAGGTAGAGTATTTATTGAGGGATTTGTGTAAACTCTTCAACATTAATCAGATAACTGAAGTAATTAGTGCATATGTAACTGGTGAACACACGTCAAAGTGTGATTTATTGCCCGTGACATAATAATATTAACAATCTAATATCATTTGTCAGTGACAGCTGCGAAATGGCTGTCACTTGGAGAGCATTAAAACTCCCAACAATCATCCAAAATGGGCTCTTGCTGCATTTTATGACTGTGTATTCGTTGAAATTGGTACAATTTTACTTGTTGCGGGTAGTCGGCGACTGAAATCAAGCGAACGTTTGGCTTTATCAACACTTGGCTGCGGGCACATTTCTCGTGCTGAGCCTTATCACCAAATAACCCACACCAGGCCGACGTTAATTATTGGAACTACACTCAAGAGCGGGAGCGCGAGTTGAGGTTGGGAGTGTGGAGTGTGGCGTAGAGAGTGGGTTTTTTGTGGCAACCATTTCTCATTTGGCCAGGTCATTTGAATCGCCTCGCCGGGCACTCTAATTAGCATCTAGATTCTAACCACAACTGCAACGGGCTGGACATGTGATGAGGTAATAGCAATAATAGCCATATCTAGACTTATAAATCAATATAAATATTGTTTACAAATACAGTAAAAACATTCTTGAACGGCTTCAGATTTTTGTTCTGTTAATAAAGACGTCATCATCTTCAAGAAAATTGTCAAAGAAAAAAACACAAGATGAAAATTATCAGGTAAAAGGTTTTTCCAAGTAAGTTGTTCGTCAATGAAGGTTTCACCGTACACACATCACTAGCTATATGCAAATTTGCTATGGCTGACTGGTTAAAATTAATGCAAAACTAATCTCTATGCATTTATAAACCCATTACATATCGTATTTATAATTGAAGCATTTCCATATATAATCAAGCATTCTATATTTAAAATACCTGCGCTTGGCTAGAAAATCAAGCGAAGATGTTGTACACATGTTGTTTTCCATTAAAAATTATAAATATTCCAGGAAATATAAATTCGAAACACAAAAACCGCGTTATATTTTCAATTTGTAATACATAGTATACCCTATGCTCCAAATACGATATATGGAAACATATGTTCGTATACTCTTCTTTATACAATATTATTATATTTTGGGCTTATCGCAAGAAACCATCTTTTTGGTGGGCGTACCATTTGCTGCTGTGCCGGATACTGATTATGGAGTTAATAACAAATAATTGTTTAGATTTTTCAAGATAAGACACGAGACAGTTGGATTGTATATTATTTGATAATGCAAATTCCAGCACGCAGTCAATAAAAAGTAAAAAAAATATTTATAGCAACAGTTTAACGAATGTCACACATAAACAAACAAAAAACTCAACTAGAAAGATAGGTATTTTTCCTTTGAACTAATATTGATAATAAATCTACAATTGAGGTTAAGTTGAGAAGTTCAGAAAGTAGTTATGGATAACTGTTTATTCTTACGTATTGACCAATTTAATAGATAACATTAATGTTATTTTGAGTAATAAATAATTTGTATTAAAGGGCGTCCCTTGGGTCATCTGATATAGCGTAAACCGCCTGGTGACAAGCAAACAAAAATCTAAAATCTAAAACGTTGTCAATAAAATAACGGAAAAGTCATATTAATAACAACTGAGCGTTAGGTGGCGATATCGTGTTGCGTTGGCAGTTTAATTGAAGGAACTTTATTTGTATGTTGCGAGCGTGGCGCGTCTAGATTACGCATGTACTACATGCACACATGCACACACTTTCGAGTACACATACATACAGACTAATACATGGTGTGCTCTGTTATCAGTTGAAAACAATAGCACACATTAATAACGGCGCATTGTCGAGAGCAAAAGTGTAGTTAGAGTAAGCCAGCAGCATCTCCTTTGCCGGTCGCTACGCTTTGGCATATAGTATGCTTTCTACAACAATACACGCATATACCATAAATACGTATGCGTGTGTTTTTGTTGTTTTCCACGCGATGAGCTCATCGCAGTGCGATTCGCTCTGGTTTATGCACTTTTCACAATTATGGCGAAATGCCTTTAATGCAACAGTGTTTTTATTAGTATTTTTGGGGTCGTGACGTTGACGGTCAGCGGGTGTGGAGAGTAGGAGAGTTGCCATATGCTTAATATCTCACACACTCACACACTCGCGCGACAAGAGAGTGACAGGCAATGTAGATTGAGGTTACTTTTTACGGGTGCATTTTAAACACCATAACTAAACTTTGGAACTGTAATTGTCTTGCTGCGTGTCTGCCTGTGTGTGTGTGTACATATGTCACTTTCAAATACTTGTGTTAGTGTTAGTAGTGCGCGTATAATTACCATCTGCTATTGTCCAGCGTATTTCGCTTGTTATTGGATCGATTGCCGTTAGCCCGCCACCCAGCGTGGAGAATACCATCAACGCCTCCTCATCGCGGGCAAGGTCTGTACAATCCTATATCAAAGACCAAAAAGAAAAAACAATTGAACAAGACTCATCAACTATTCATTTAATGGGCCACAGGCATTCGCAGCTTAGGCGCCCGCATTAAACGTATTCCTCCCCTTACCGTCTTTTCTTCGGCACTGCTTACAACTTCTGCTGAGTCGGCATTTGCACCTGCCGTTTGTGTTGCTGCTGATGCAATCACGCTGCTCAATAGCAAAATTAACGCGCAACAACGTACGAAGTATTTCATTTTGCAAAATCTATCCGACGACTTTGTTGTTTTTGTCTTTTTTGACATCGCACGACGTACAATGAAAAAATTTATGTATTTTGCGTTTGATTATTTATGCACTCCGCAATTTCTTGCTATTGGTCGAATGTATCATATTTTCAGTGGTTTTTCATTAATTTTTATATGCTTTAATTTGACACTTCACACACACACTTTCATTGGTTTACCATTTAATGCGTATTTCTTTCATTCGTCATTGTTGCGTAGAGTTGTACTGTTCGCGAGCGTATGAACAAAAAGAGAATTGAATTGCTCACCGAACTGAAATGAACTTGTTCGTACTGCTTAACCAAAAAACATATCAAATGAACGTTCACACAGAATCTATGAACTGGCAAATTGGCTCTGTATTATAATCAACATTTATTTTTGAGCATAATATATTAATTTAATTAATTTACTTGATTTTTCTTTAATTATTCTTTAACACTTGATATAAAAAACAGCAGTTTTGATTTTGTTTTGATTTATGAACTTACAGTTTAGTATCTCGCTAATGGAACTAGTTAAATAGAAAACTCTGCAATGCTAAAAAATACTAAATACCCGACAGTATGTTCAGGTCTCTATACAGCTGTTTTGGTTTTTGTTGCACAATGCGGCAACCGGTCGTCAATTTAAGCAATTGTTTATTTAAACGTTTTCTACAAACACAGAATACAGTGAAACATGCCAAACAGCAGGCTAACAACCTTAAGGGTAAAAGCAAAAGCTCCCAGGATTGGTTGATACGGCAGTTAGCCGATCCATATGTGGAGAAGGCGCGCATGCTAAATTTCCGCTGTCGCAGTGCCTTTAAGCTTCTGGAGATGGATGATAAATACAAAATTTTAAAGCCTGGCGATGTAGTATTAGATTGTGGTGCTGCGCCAGGCAGTTGGACACAAGTGGCTGCTGAGCGCACCAATGCAAATGGCAAGGTAGAGCGTGCGCCACGGGGCGCAGTGTATAGCATAGATCTCCTACATTTCCATGCAGTGCCCGGAGCGACTATCTTTGGAGGAATGGATTTTACCACGCCGCTTGCCCAGCAGCGTCTGCGGGAGTCTCTGGCGGGTCGACAAGTGAACTGTGTGCTCTCGGACATGGCACCCAATGCTACGGGCGTGCGTATGCTGGACCAGGAGAGCATCACAAATCTGTGCTACGAGGTGCTTAAGTTTGCCCTTGCTATGTCCGCACCACAAGCCAATTTGGTGGTGAAGATCTGGGACAATGGCGATGTACCAAAACTGGAACGGGACATATTGTGCCATTACGAGAAAGTTAAACGTGTAAAGCCACGCGCAAGTCGTGGCGACTCAGCGGAACATTTCTTATTGGCACGCGGCTATAAAGGCCCAACACCAGTGCCAGCTTAGACATATTTAGCTTAAAAAGTCGAATTCAATAAATGTAAATGTAATTAATGTAAATAAAAAGTCCTTCACGTAATGGTAATGGTATATAAATTCGAACATAACCGTGTAACCGTCGCTAATCAATCGATATTCTAGCGCATTATCTAACTGTAATATGCGGTCACACTGGGTAACTTTCAAAAATAAAAAATCACCTGTTCAGTTTCGCTTGTAAAAAGATTTCAATAGTTGAATTATCAAAAATATTCTATACATTTTTACATTAGGATGTATTTTTAAACAAAATATCACCATAACACTGAAATTAACATTGACAGTCACAGTTTCGATGCAATCGAATATCGATAACAAGTTATTCGCGCACTGACCCACTCTGGCAACGTCATACATCTTCCCAAGCGCTTAACACCAAAATTGTACACCAGCTGTTTGCAGCGCCAAAATATATATTCTCAGATATTAAACTCCATTTAAGCTAGTTGAACAAACATGTCGGTCGCGGACACTCTGGAGTACATAACCCTTGGCAATCCCATCAGTCGGTCGCTCATCAGTTCGTCGTCATCAATTTTGCGTGCGATAGTAAGTTCATATTATTCAACTGTGTTCTTTTTCATTTGACGCATATCGTTGCAAATTCTTTGTTTTTTTTTGTAGGGACTGCGTCCCAAGAATATACCTGTGAACGATACCCCGATGGGAGTGCCAATGCAGGTCCAACCTTTAAATGTCTCGATGCACGGCATTGTCGGCAGTCACTATAATTTTGTGCGTATTGCCGGCTTGGGCGGTGCATCGGCCATTTTCATGGGCGCCTATTGTAAGTACTTTCTGAAGGATGTCCACGATCCCAAGGAGCAGCTGGAGTCACAGGCTTTTGCTGATGTTGCCAATCGCATACATTTTCTACATTCATTTGCACTCATGTGCATGCCTCTGGCACATTATCCAATCTTTGTAAGTATGCAAGTTTGTTTATAAGTTTCGAATATCTGTGCCCATTGCAAAAGGTAGAAGAAAGCATTTTACACCCCATTAGCCATACAGATTATAGAATAAATATTTTTCTCAGATTAGGATCTATATTTTTGATAATGTGATTGAAAAAATGTCTTATGCAAAATGCAGGTCTAAGAAATGGAAGCACAGTTGCGAGGGTATGAGCTAGTCTGGCACTCTCGGCCAAAGCACTTTTTTTTTATTGAGGTGATTACCCTTGTTTAAAAGAATAAAACCAAAGAGTTGTGTTGGATCATCATACCGTTTATTGAGCATCATAAAGCTATTTTAGTTATTTCACATTTGTAAGAGTTAAATTTCTGAACGGAATTTATAACAACTCGCGTTACACTTTGAATGATTTGCAATTTGCGCAATTCAAATTCGATATTCAACATTAATGTGCATATAAATATGGATTTCATGTATATGTAATTGACACACTCGTTTTTGTAAATAAAAAAGAAAGAATATAATTGAATCATGATATGGGCTAAGCGCTCACAAATTACGTTCTATTAGAAGTGCAGATTGTATATGAAATTTCCGTTTTTGTTTTTGTTTTGTTTTTTCAAAGCTAAAGCTAAATGTTCAACAACCACTAATTGCAGCTTAAAAGTAATTTCAATACCACATTACGAAACTTGTATACGATAATTTCTAACATGTAACATCATTATTTTTTATATATAGATGATATGAGAGGTTCAGATCTGATATGGTATAGGGTTTTGAGGGTATAGGAAATATGTATTTGTTTTCCTTAATTCTATATACTTGTTTCTTTAAATTTTCTTTGTTTTAAAAAACGTACCAAAAGACAGCTTCAATAACGCTGCTAAATTGTTTTTGTTTTTTTTTTTTTTCTTTCAATAATTTGGTTTTCAGCCTTATGCGATAAGTAAATCGTAGAGCTTGCATTGGGGTTTTCTTTTTTCAAAGCCAACAACTAAAGCTAACATCAAAAAAATGCAGGCCATACATTATTATTGTCTAACATTTAAATGCAGTATAAATAATTTTCTTTTGTTTGCATACGCTTAATAATATTAAAATGTTTTGCAGACTGGCGTTTTGATGACCATGGGCACCGTACTCTTCTCAGGCTGCATGTATTATCGTGCTCTGACTGGGGAGAAGCGACTGCAGCATTATGCCACCATTGGGGGCTTCTGTTTGATTGGCGCCTGGCTGTCGCTGGTGGTCTAGATTCGATATATACGCACATGATATGATAGTTAATAGAAATACAATGGCACACAGTTATCTACATATATATATATATAAAATCAACTAAAGCTAAAGCCTAGATGAAGTTACGTGTGTGTACAGCAGCAGCTATATTTATATATTTAGGCGCTTTTAAAAAGCGTCGCTTAGTTTTAAATGTGAGCTCTCGAGCACTTGAATTTAAAAATTCTAGTTTTTTAAGTTTTAATCAGTTTGCAGCAAATGGAAGAAACTTTCTTTTGTTGTTATAAATGCATTAAATCTTTGTTCTTTTTTTGTAGATGATTTAAATGCAGTTCTACTAGTAAGTTAACGAACTGAAAAGCCAATGCGAAAATAAAAATTAAGGATTATTTAGAAAATCAAAAAACAACCAAATAAAAACCTAAATTGTTACATTTATTATGTGTACCTGTACATTAATAAATTACTATAAAAACACATTAATACTAGACGTAACAGTTTATAGTAATTTTTTTTTGTTTTTTTTTTTCTTTCATTTTGTCATTGTTATTGTCGATATGGAACACATTTTATACATTTTTCAATGAGACCCTTTTAAGGTACATTTTGCGCGGTTGAGCTAGAATTTTCCTTTTTTCCTTTTTAGTTTTTATCAATTTGATTTACATGCTCAAACCTGAGCTTATTGTCATACATCTCGTACTATAGTTCTATAATCAATTCAACTAACATTTAGTGATATTTGATTTGTACATCTGCGTGTTACCAAAATTCTTTGCTTAACTATAATTGTTTGTTTTTTTTTTCTTGTTTTGTTGTGTGTTTTTGCTTTACTTATTCTTGGGCTACCCTAATAGTTTCTGTTTGGAAGCCTCCGCAAACAGAAAGGTCTTTTGTATGCGCGCATTGGCAGCCGGGTGGTTCGTAATTGGTTCCAGTATCTTAAGTATGTAGTCTTTAAAAGCCTTCGGGACAGCGAAATGTCAAGAATCTTTTTTCGCGCGCAAATTATCCTCATGCGCCTGTCGGGATTAATAATATGTCAGTTATATATAATGCTCATGGCTTATATTCCTTAAGGAGACTCACCTTTTGTGCAACCTTGAGCAGCGCATCGAATGTGGCGTCGCCCGTCTGTTTGACCATGCTGTGGAATACCTTTTTCTCGCTGACGGTGAGCAGCTCGAAGGGCGATGCAAATTCAACGGCACGTCCGGCATCCATAACCAAAACCTTATCCGAGTCCATGACTGTGTGTAGACGATGCGCAATTGTCAGCACTGTGCAATCCTTGAACTTGCTCCTAATCGTGTTCTGTATGAGGGCATCTGTCTGTGGATCCACATTGGCCGTGGCCTCGTCCATGACCAGAATGCGATTCTCGCGCAGAATAGCACGCGCCAGGCACACCAGCTGGCGCTGACCCACGCTAAAGTTGGTGCCACCCTCGGAAATTTTGCTCATCAGTCCGCTGGGCAGGTCGGCTACCACTTTCTTCAGCTTGACCTCCTCCAGTGACTCCCAGAGTTTCGCGTCGGAGTATTCATCAAACGGATCCAGATTGTAACGCATGGTACCGGAGAACAGCACCGGCTCCTGTGGTATAATGGAAATCTTGCTGCGCAAATCGTGCAGGCCCAGTTCATTGGTGTCGCGGCGATCGATTAGAATGGAGCCTTCGTTGTAGGACAGTCGGAACAGTGCATTGATCAGGGAGGATTTGCCGGCGCCAGTGCGTCCAACGATGCCAACCTTTTCGCAGGCATCGATGGCAATGTTCAGGGAACGCAGCACATAATCCGCATCCTTTTCGGGGAAGTAACGCAAGCTCAGATCTTCGAATTTAATTTTACCCTCATCGGGCCAATCCTTGGGTGGCTTCTTGTTCGGCTTGGACTCGAAGTCGCCCTCCGGCTCAAGATCCTCATATTCAACGACACGTTCCACCGAAGTCATGGTGTTCTCCAACTCAGCGGACTGACGCATGCCCCATTGCACCATGCCCGTCATGCCCATAGCCTGTGTATATGAAAGAGATAAGTTAGCAAAGGTTTTCGATGTTCAATATAACGAGTTGTACCTGTGTTATAGCCAAGCCAACGTCGCCGCCATTTTCTGGCGAGAATAGGAAAAAGCTGAGTGTAATTATGGCAATATAAAGCACGCAAACCAAATCCAGCCAGTAGCCAAAGGCACGACTTGTCGCCAGGAACATATAAAAGCCAGAGCTGTGCAAATCTTGGAAATTATCAAACTCCGCAATGAGCTCCTTCTGTGCGCCAAAAGCGCGTATCGTGGCCAGACCATTCAGCGAGGCGCTCAAATGCGAGTAGATGGGCGAGCGAGCTGCAGAAGATCAGATGGAAAAATGAAACCGGGATGATGTAATTAACTCCAAATGCTACACTCACTTATCGCCTCCAATCTCTTGACATCTCTGGACGTGGTCAGGTAGAAGGCGCGCAGCAGATAGAAGATAACGACCAGTATAAACGTGACCAACAGATACCAGACATTCACAATGCACAGCACAACAATGATGCCTAGAATGCAGAGGAATATCTGCATCACATCCATCATGACCGATGGCAAAATCTCATCCACCTGACCCAGATCCTTGGAGAAGCGATTCAAGATGCGACCCGATGGATTTGTATTGAAGAAATGCATCGCCGCACGTGTCACACCCTGGAACATTCTGTTATGCAGCGTCGTGGAGCTCTTGGAGGCCAGATAAAAGAAGAGCACACTGCGCACCAGGGAGAACACAATCACCAAGACGTTAATGGCCGTAAAGTAGTATATATCGATGGGATCGGTATCGCTGTTGATTCTCGGCATAAATGAGCGACGCAGACGTGACATAAAGGTATCGGTATTCGTTTCCCCGTTCTTGTTGACCCTGAGGAAAGTATATATAGAAAATTCAGTTACATTTAAAATTAACATTTTAAGCTCTGTTAGTAAAATGCAGGTAACATAACATACAATGTTAAGATTAACATAACGTATCGGCCAGGCCGTAAGAGCTATGGACCTAAACTTCGCTGATTTCCCCAGATAGTTACTCACCAGTAGGACAGGAACATGTCGCCGCCAGAGCCCAGCACCTGGGCGCCAATGCAGAAGAAAGCAAACACAATGAACAGAAAGTAACCGTTGGCAGCAAAGTATTTCTTATAGAGACCCATGCCAATGCGTCCCTCGGTGCGGTTCTCCTGGGTCTGCATGGGTGACTCCATGACCACAGATTCGGCGCCAGATTCCATGGATGAGACACTGTTCGCGCGACTGCGCTTGCTGATCTGCGATAATTTTCGTTTGTCGGGCGCATCGCCGGCGCTCTCATCTTTCTTGCTGGGATCGGTTAACATTTGGGCAAAGTCCAGACCGCTCTTGCACATGGACTCATAGGTACCCTTGGCACTGATCTTGCCCTTGTCCAGGATGACTATAAGATCGGCCTGCTCCAAGAATTGCAGCTGATGCGTAACCAGAAGTACAATATTATCCCGCAGATAGCCACGCATGCACTGATCGAATAGATGACGGCCCACATGGGTGTCCACAGCGCTGAGCGGGTCATCCAGCAGATAGATATCTGCCTTGCGGTACACGGCACGCGCCAGACTGATGCGTGCCTTCTGGCCACCCGATAAGGAGGCGCCACGCTCGCCCACAATTGTCTTGTCTCCGTACGGCAGCAGCTCAAAATCGCGCTCCAGCGCGCACTTTTTCACCACCTGACGATAGCGGCTCTTGTCCATGGGCAGACCAAACAGTATATTCTGACGAACTGTGCCGGTGAAGAGCCACGGCTCCTGCGATGCATACGACAAGGTGCCGTTCACTTTTACGGTGCCCGATTCGGGCGGCAACTCCCCGAGAATGGTTTGTATTAAACTGGATTTGCCGGCACCGACGGGTCCAATGACAGCCACTAGCTGCCGCGGCTTGAACGTGAGGCTCAGATTGTCAAGCGTGTACTCGGTCGACTTTGAGTCCCACTTGGCCTTCATCTTGCTGATGACCACGCTGCTCTCAGCCTCGCTGGGCCGGCGACTGTTTGGCTTCAGCACACCGGTGACTGTCGCCGCTGGCTCCTCTACCAGGCTGGCAAGCGGTTTATTGCCCAGCTTTTGTTCATTCAGATCGTTCGACTTGTCGCGCACTTTGGTCTCCTCGTGCATCATAAACTTTTGTATGCGGCCTATGGAAACGAGCAGCTCGGCGAACTGGAGAATTTTAGAGAAATTAAATTAAATATAGCTGTACTTTAATAAAAAGCAATAATATATATTATTAAAATTAAGTATTTCAATCTTCAAAAATCTAAAATTGATTTCAAATTGTTTTTTGCCGGGCTTTTCCATAACATTTATATGTTAAGATAAGCAATAGCGATCGACCTACTTATGTTATATCTAATGTTAACTATGAAAACCCCTATCTTAACAGCGCTACTTCAAAATTTGTGCTAACCATTATTTTAACATATATGCTGTTATCTCTGTCTGTTAACGTAAATTTGAAACATATTCGTTAACATTAAGGGACATTTAAAATCTTAAGCGAATAGATTAAAACATCATATATACAAATGTTGTCTGTTTATTTACCTGCGAGATGCCCATGGGAAAGTAGATGGTCATTGTATTGCGCAGAATATTATAGTAGGCGGTAATGGCAAAAGCCTTCTCCGCAGTCAGCAGTTGTCCCAGCAGCACATAGCCCACCAGGCTGACAAACACCGAAATACGCGTCACATACATGATGAAGCTCTGCAGCGTGCCGCGAATATAGTTCACTTTACGTATGGCATTCATCTCCTTGCCGCGCACATAGTTAATCATATTGCTGAATGGTATCTCCCAGGCGTACATTTTGATCACCTGAATGCCCGAAATGATCTCATTCATCATGCGCACACGCTCATCCGTACGCAAGGCCGTTTTCAGACGCAGTGTAGAGGTCTTCTTTCCCAGATAGGCTTGCAGCGGTATGAACAGCAACATTATAGCGACACCAAAGAAAGCCGAGACGCCAATCTGCAGGAAGAGAAATTGAATAAATATTTAATTTTAGGACAATTTGAAACTGATCGAATTAATTAATCAGTCAAAATAATAAAGTTCGTTCGCACTCACCTCTCTGTACATGAGCCAAGTGACCACGGCGATCTCCACCGGGCCCAGCCATAAATAATGGACGTGTATGACAGAGACATCCAGGCGGCCAACATCGTTCGATATAAGATTAACCACCTGGCCGGTCGTTGTGGCGCCCAGCGCTGTGCGACTGAGACGCAACGCCTTGCGATAAATCATGCTGCACATTGCAACGCGCACCTTCATGCCCGTGTGGAACATGCCGAGCATGTAGGGGTGCATAAATATAACATTGAATGCGCTGCACAAGATAACGCCCACGGCATACAGGATGGCTGTGCTCTGGTCATCGCTATTCTGATTGTCCGGGTCCGCATAGAAGGCCACCAGCCCGCCCAAGCACAGAGGCTGTGTCACGCTGCGGCCAAACAGATTACAATAATTGCGATCATAAATAACGAATGGGTGTGTGTGCGTGTGTGTGTGTGTGTGTGTGTGTTGGCAGCTTACCGGAAACCCATCTCGACTATAAACAATACAAAGCCGAGTATGCCAAAGTTCCAGCCAAAGACGCTCATCGTTGCCTTAAACAAGCTGGGCGTTTTCTTCTTTTTGCGCTTCTCCTCCACCTCCTTCTCCCAGGCATCGCTGAGCTTCTTGCCAAGTTTATCTTGAATTTTAAAATATAGACATAATTTTTGTTTAAGCGTGTTCTTCTCATATAACTTTGATTTATGTATGCATTATTTATTTAGTTAAATTATATTGAAATTGTAATTTAATTATATATTGATGTGGAACAAATCGAAACTTTAGGCGAAAGTCAGTTCGAGCCGTGCACCAAATTATTGACAATTTCCGTTTTGTTCGATTTTCAGTTGTGTTTGGTTCAAGGTTTTTTAAGTAGAATTTCAATGCCCTTTTTCTATGCGTAACACTCTTGAATGAAAGCTGATTATCGTGATATAATGGATTGTGTAGACATGACTTTATAGGCGATAAAAATATGACATGCACATGGAATTGAGGGTTTTACGATTCGATTCGATGATTTTTATCGCTTATAAAAAGGCATATCAAGCTTTTAGTTTCTGTTGTCACTGCTTCTGAGCTGTGAGCTATGTGCCGTAAAAACCCCGAGCTGCAATCAGCTGTCCCTTAGCCTTATCAGTTATCAGTTAACAGTGCGGCCCGGCTAATCCCACCTGGTCAGACCTGGCTGCATGCGCCATATACCCGCCCAATAGCCGTTGGCCATAGTCATGGGCACTTCCGCAGTGGTTTTGGCCAATCTTAAGTGGCTTTGAAATGCATATACTAGATAGGTATTTGACAGAAGGTAAGAACGAAAAGGAAAATTAGTTATTTGCCATTGTTTACCTAAATAAATATTTGCTCAAGACGTATGCCCGATTAGATTGTGCGCGAGCCCACTTAATGCCAGTGCTCAGTGTGTCTCTATGGGCTCATATATTCGAAGTAAATAAGCGGCCGATATTTAATTGAATATCTCATATATCATTGGCGGTCAAAAGGGGAAGCTCATTAATTGCGGCAATGCTGCTTGTCAAAGTTATCAAATGGCTATCACCCAACAAAAATTTGGCACTAACGGCCACTGATTTTATATTTTTATTAATGGTACCATAAAAATCAAAGTTCAATATTTTTTTTTTTTTTTTTGCCTTTCGACTCAATTCGGCCGATAAGCGCGTTAAACTGAAAAACTTATAATAGAGTTTTTATTAGCGTCAATTGAATGACAGAAATCTTATCAAAGGATGAGTTAGCATTTGATTTATGAAAAATTGTTTGAGATAATACTCAAACAGATAATGGTTAACGGCAATAGGAAGTGCGGATAGCAGGCATATATAATTATTTCCAAGGGCCTTCGCAATTGTCTGCCAAGGCCCACGAAATTCTAAAAAAAAAAAATAAAATAAAAAAAAAAAAAAAAATAACCCTGCTTATCCATCGGTCTGGCTTCCTGGCACATGGTCTATTCTATCTAATCGTTGGAAACCAAAAAATAAAAATAAAATAAAACTGTACTTTTGAGTGGCTTTCCAGTTGCGTCGTTTCGTTTCTGCCACTTCAAATCACACGTTAAATATGTCTCAACAGTTGATATTTCCATAGATAATACCTAGCCATACAATTTGTCATACTATTCTATATTCTATTTTCATATGGAAAAAAATGCGATGACAATTGTCTGCCATCACGTAAGGAACTCAACTGGTTTGTGTGATAACTATATTATTTAATTGCCCAGAGTCTAGAGTCTTTCCGAAATCGCAACTAATTGTACATTGAACCCTATTGCAAGCGCCTTCTAGAAAACCAGAGCTGGATGTGGTGCAGTTGCCTGTTTCCATGACTCATAGCTCTAGAAACTGTTGTACTTCGATTGTTTATTAATTTAGGTTTATAAAACAATGGAGTTCAGTTTGAGCGATGTCTTGGGTTTATTTATGTGTCCTTTTTTGGTTTTTCTGTATATTGCAAATGGCATATTTGTAGCTGACTTCGGCTCAATTGATATGCAGAGCATAGCTTTGTACTCGATTTGGAATGACGGCTACATTTTTGGCAATTAATCAGAATTTCTTTTTGTGGACAATCCGAAAGATTTCATCAAGATATACTTATAAGCGTGATTCATGCACTTACCGGACTTGTGTTCGTTTAATGCCTTATAGAGATCATTTTCATCTAGAGTCTTTTTGCGTCCCTTGAAAAATGTGGGCATAGTATAGCTGAAAATAATGTGTGTAATAAAAACAAAAATATTAATATTTGTTGCTTAAGATTATTAATAATTGCTTACCAAAACATCAGCGATGACAACGGATTCGCGGTCTCGCGCGGATTCGTCGGCAGCTCATCCACGTTAACGGACTGCATTTTGTTGTGATTTCTGTCAATCCAGTTCGATTTAATAGCTCAATAACTTGTCATTTGTTGTGTGTTGTGTGTGTGTGTGTGTGTGTTGTTTTTATCAGACAACCACAAGCGCCGCTATAATATAGATGATAATGGTGTGTATGTTAATTTAACATGGATTTCAGTTCATCTAATTCGAATATTTCCCTCATTGGGCACACGAAATATTGTTAGCTGATAAGATTTTTGTTATGTTTTTTTTTTTTATGGCCCGGCTGGTCATGATTTCTTAAGTGGTATTCCACAGGCTGTCAACGTCATAATATAACACTTATCTGGACTCTAGGAGGCTGAACCGCGCCTAATTACTAGATATGCGATTATAAAGTCTGGTGCGTAATCATAATCATGGTGAGTTGGCAGAAATAAAGGTATTTCGAATTTGTTTGTATTTTGTAACATTTGCTGAAGGTTAAATTTGTAGAATTTTTCCTTTTGACTTTGCCAGTTATTTGGTGCTAGTCTGGGCACAAATTTAAGGGATCGGACACTTGGGAAGATGAATATCAACATATAACCATTATTGTTTTGGAAGTATAGGAATAAGCTAAAAAAATATATATACTCTCAATTGAGCCCGATTTTTGTTTGTGCTTATTGTAAGGAATATTGTTCACTTGGCGTTCAGTTGCTTAACACTTTAAGCTTTGAGTTCAATTGAATTGTATTTAATTTATAACACCTCTATCAATATTAGGCAAGAGCACCAAATACACTATCTCGCTTATAAAATATATATTTATAGAGGTGACTGCACACGTTACACAAGGACGAAACGCGTTGGACTCACAAAATGGCACTGGAACCGGCTGGCAGCGTCGCGTCCAGATCTGTAACTGGGCTCTTGGCCAGATGTGAGACGCACTTTTATAGCCAGCGATTAATCCAGTAACAAAAGGTTTTATCAGCATTCGACTTCGTATTCGTGATGTGATCGAGGGAGCGCACCTTGATAAGAGTCCGCGAACCGACACATTCTGAATGAAAATGAACGTTAGCTAAATTGTTGATAAAACGTGCAATCAAAATGCAAAATGCTGCAGTTATCAGAGACTTTCCCGACAGAAGCTCAAATTTCAGTTGTGCATTTTTATTGAATTTTCGTAACGAGGCGCCTTTGTAAATAAACAAACATCGTTTTTGGGTTAACAACTGGCAAAGCTTTGCTTGTTTTCTTACCAATAGCTTTATTGTTTAGCAATTAACAGCGTCGCAAATAAAACAGCAAAACATAAATGCAGAAAATTAGATTGAGAAAATGAAAGGTGAAAACAAAACACAAATTTTACTGCAAATCAACTAAGAATTATGGTGCCAATTAATAGTCGTGCAATTCACTTATAAACACTAGTTCTTATTGTCGCTTTTAAATAAATGGTGCGCTATGTGCTTGTTTTTGTAGAATTAAATGTAATTGTGCAATAAAAAAAAACGTTAAACAAGTTTGTGCGAGCTCGAAAATGGGTCTGCTTCTTTCCCGATTCTGAGCGGCGCAGGCGCAGTGTTATCGATAATTTGCTTGTGTAATGCTGTCCTTATGAATTTTGATTTAATTTTTAACGTACGTACATCTTAAATTATGTTTTAAAATAATTTATGCTTGTATTTGCAAATACTATGTTGAGTCCAAGCTATGAACATGTGAAGTAAAATTTCAAAATTAACATTGCGCGCATTTCTATTAACATTAACTTAACAGTGTTCGGCTTATGTTAGATAGCATACAATATCGATAACTGAACTACACTTATCGAACACATTCGCATAAAAAGCGGGTTAATTTCACACACAATAATTGATAATACACCGCTACCAATTAGTTAAATAATTAAGAAACAATTTTAACTTTATAGGTTAGTAAAATGCAGTCCGTTTTAAGCAGAAGTTTTAATATCGGTAAGTTGATCCCGTCCGGACTTTGCCTTGATGATATGCATATACTATGTTAATACGATCAGCCTTAACACCTTATTAGCCCGCCAGACCTTGCATGTGCGGCAAATTGCCTCGCTCTCCGCGTTGTCGGAGACGCACCAGATGCTCCAAAAAACTTGCCGTGACTTTGCGAACTCTGAACTGGCGGGTCAAAATGCGGCCAAATTCGATCGCGAGCACCTTTATCCTGCGAAACAGATCAGGCAAATGGGCGAATTGGGCCTCATGGCGGTGGCTGTGCCCGAGGAGCTAGGCGGAACCGGGTTGGATTATCTGGCCTATGCCATTGCCATGGAGGAGATCTCACGTGGTTGCGCCTCAGCGGGCGTCATTATGTCTGTGAATAATTCACTATATTTGGGCCCCTTGTTGAGCTACGCAAATGCTGCCCAAAAGGCTGCCTATATCACACCGTATACGACGGGCGAGCGTGTGGGCTGCTTTGCGCTGTCCGAGCCGGGCAATGGGTCCGATGCGGGCGCGGCGTCAACTGTTGCCACGGAAAAGGGCGATCATTATGTGCTGAACGGCACCAAGGCGTGGATAACCAATGCATTTGAGGCGGAGGCGGCTGTCGTCTTTGCCACCACCAACAAGCAGCTGAAGCACAAGGGCATCTCCGCATTTATAGTACCCAAGGGTATTAAAGGTTTCTCACTGGGCAAAAAGGAGGACAAGCTGGGTATACGTGGCTCCTCCACCTGTCAGCTCATATTCGAAGACTGCGAAATACCCAAGGAGAGTCTGCTGGGCGAAACGGGCTTTGGCTTTAAGATTGCCATGCAAACGCTGGACGCTGGACGTATTGGCATCGCCAGCCAAGCCCTGGGCATTGCACAGGCCTCACTGGAACTGGCCGTGGACTATGCGCAGAAGCGTCAGGCCTTCGGCAAACCCATTTCCAAGCTGCAAGCCATACAGCAAAAGATTGCCGACATGTCCCTGGCTGTGGAATCAGCCCGTCTGTTGACCTGGCGCGCCGCCTGGCTAAAGGATAACAAGCTGCCCTATACGAAAGAGGCGGCTATGGCCAAATTGGCTGCCTCCGAGGCGGCTACACTGTGCGCCCATCAGTGCATCCAAGTCTTGGGCGGCATGGGCTATGTAACTGATATGGCAGCCGAGCGACATTATCGAGATGCGCGCATAACCGAAATATATGAGGGCACCTCAGAGATTCAACGTCTGGTTGTGGCGGGCTCAATACTCAAGGAGTACGCTAATTAATACTGGCAATTCCTTTTTTTAAAGCTATTTTTATACACAAAGTCTGAATGCAATAAAGTCTCGAGTCGACTAAAATGTTCCCTACTTTTTATATATTTTATATATGTGGGCATGCAGCAAGTGTAGGTTCAGCGCATTTCTTGCTTATCATTATTGAATCTTGCAGCTAGCCTAAATATTGCTTTGATATTGTTAGCAAATTAAAATGCTGAATTCACATGTGTTGTCAATTTTACCAAATACATTAATTTATTTATATGGTTTTCAGTTTACATTCACTAACCGCCCAAATAGCACTGTTAAGTAGCTCTGTTGTTAACATAATGGTATTTTTCTGCGTTCACATAAATTATAAGTATTTGCACGATCGCCAAATCTGGTCACACTGGTGCCCATTTTACAGCGGCGTCAACATCTACTCTGCGCACATTTCAACAAAATTCCGTATTTATTGCTAGTTGTACGTTATAAAACATTTAGCACAGTGCAATTACAACAAGTGTGTGGTAATGAGGCTGTTTACGATTTGCACAAACGCGCACAACAAACCAAACGCATGTTAGCAACTATATACGAATTGCGTTTTCCGTCCCCCCTCCCACACTCACACACACACACACAAACACACACACCCAGGCGTTGTGCGCCAGGAATAGCCCAACAGGCCATCAACAGCGACAGCGACAGCTATGGATGTTGTTTGTGTAATTGATACTGTTGTGGGCGATCATCTGGAGGATCGTCTCTGCGCCTTAGAGGAGATCAAGCAGGCAGTGCAATCAGCAGGAGCCAATTTTCAGCGTGTACAGGTGCGTTGGCGGTTAAAACGAAAAAAAGAAAACTACAAAAAAAGAAAATCATTATACAATAATATATTGAAAATATTTGATTTGCAGTTCGAGCGCTTGGATTATGGCGAGACGAATGTGCAGGAAACCTTCTATAATGCCGATGTTGCCGTCATAGATTTAAGCATATTAACACAACAGCGTCCGCTATCCTATCATTATGGGGTGCGCGAAAGTTTCGGCATGAAGGAGAACATCTTAATCTACAACGATTTGGAGTCCAAACAGACGCTCAGCTTAAGGGTATGTATAATGAAAATATGTGCTGGCAAACAGGTGTACGAACAGCTTGATTAGCAAAGATGTTGCCAAATGCAGAGCAACAATAAAACACACAGCATAATCGACGTGTTCTGCAGATAAGATAAATTACCAAGCAAGAAGCATTTGCTTAAAGTTTTTAAAACAGCGACCAGCAGCAGACGCAGCAGCCACTCAAGTTGTTGTTGTTGTTGTTAGTTTTTTTTTTTTTTTTTGTTGTGCTTCCGTTCTGTGAACAAAAAAAGGTGTTATTTTTGTTTTGGCCACCGCAGCACGAAAAGCTAATACAATAAAACATAACAACAACAAATGCACGGACGCCAACGCAAAACACAAAACAACACGCACGCCGTCGCGGGCACACACAAACACAACCACACACACACACACACACACATAAATATAAACATGTACGCTATAAACAAACGCAGCGGCTGCATGCACTTACATCGGCCGCCAAAAAAACATGTCTGGCTCACATATTGTTTAACATACTGTAGCATCCATAAAAACGTATTATGTTATATATAGAGCGCCGACTCGCTATCGAATCTATTTATATACTCGCTAGAGTTTAGTCAAGCATCTACCATAATATGTTCAGCGGGCTCCAAATTTCTGTCTACGGCACATACACTTAACTCTGCCGATCATAAAAACAAGACTACAGTGCCGTCCGTTGTGTATGTCTCTAATGCCTTATATGTCTTGTATTACAGCTCTCTTGTGCCAACTACTTGTTTCTCAGCTATAAACGTAATGCTGAGACCAACTCCTGCCATTTAACACATCAGGCCAGCAACAAGGAGCCACCCGCAGATGGACGCGTGCCCACCACATTACAGTCACGTCTCAAGCGGAAATTGCAAGATGTTGAAATACAATCAAAGTTCGTATTTGTGACACATTACTTACTATTGAAATTGCATTAATATTTACTTGATCCCAATTGCCAACCATAGGGCACATATGCGCGAGAAATTTCTCAGTGATATGCGAGCGGCGCGAGACGCTTACGCGCCCAGCGATGATAAGTTAAAAAGCATTCTACATGGGGTAAGATTAATGCAAATATTTATATGTACATGTATGTACACATATATTTGATTACTAATGCAAGGCTTGATTACATAAAACGATGATTAATTTGCAAGTTTCAAGAAATTGGCATTTGTAAAGGCGCAGTACTGATTAAATTTAAATTGAAATTACTTCAATCTTTTTTGCAGTTTATATTTTATGATTAATTTTTCAGTCTATCAACTTTTCTATATATCCATGCTAATTAATGAATGTTCCCGCATTTCAGATGCGAAAACGCCTGGACGATCCACACGTGCTGTCCGGCGAGGTATTGCACAGTTTTATGTGCTCACTGCGGGATGTGCAGGATTATGATGCGATGGTACGTCTAGTGAATGACCTTAAGAACATACCAAACACACGCAAATATGTAGAAACGGACAATATGAGTTTTTTGTATGCGTTCGCGTTGAATCGACGCAATCGGCCGGGGGATCGCGAGAAAGCACTAGAATCATCACTCAAAGCACTCGAAAAAATGGAGAATCCATTTCCGGATATGTTGTGCCTATGCGGACGCATCTACAAGGACATGTTTGTGGAGTCGGACTGTACAGATACAAAGAGCCTGGAGAATGCCATCAAATGGTATCGCCAAAGTTTTGAGGTGCAGCCAAATGAATATGCGGGCATCAATTTGGCCACCCTGCTGGTAATCGAAGGCAAGGAGTTCAGCAATACCGTCGAGCTACAACATATTGGCATGACCCTTAACAATCTCATTGGCAAAAAGGGCAGCTTGTCAACGCTCAGTGGCTACTGGGATGTGGCGACATTCTTCGAGATCTCCGTGCTGGCCGAAGACTATGCCAAGGCCATACAGGCAGCCGAGTGCATGTTCAAGCTGAAGCCGCCCATTTGGTCGCTTAAGTCAACCATTGGCAATATATCGCTGATACATCGTTTTCGGCGCAAACCCGAGGATCGGCAGCTGCCCATCGAGGAGCAGGCTTTTCAATTCTGGATGGACTTCTTTCTGATGGCCATTAATGTCAAAGAGATTAATAGCATACGCTTTCCCATTTTGGTAGGTATTGTATTTGTAATCGGTCAAGTAATTGAATATATAATCTCTGGCTTCAATTTTCTTGCAGATACTCGAACCCAACAAAATTTATATGCCCAGCTATGTGACTATAAACATGGATGCCGATGAGAAGTCTATACAGATTGTAAACATTTGTCTGGCGCACTCGAAGAATGCTTGCAAAAAGCTGCACGATTTTCTGTTTGTTGCTTCAAAGATTAAATCAGTTAGCCTATACAAACGGGACGATCTCTGTGCGTATCTATATGTGCATCACAATTCGGACGATTTTCAAATATACTTTCCATCCACCGAGTGCCGGCAAAGCTTTTACGATCGCATCTTGGAAATGACTGCCGATCAGGAGGTGTTTGTCAATCTGGAGACTGATGAGGCGCAAATCGAGGTGGGTCTAACTTGAGCTAATCAAACTGTATCCAATCCCTCTAATTCATCAAAAATTTGCAGTATGAATACGATTATAATGATCAGAATCGCAAGATTACGCTCGGCAAGGGCACCTATGGCACTGTGTACGCGGCGCGTGATAAGCAAACGCAGGTGCGTATTGCCATCAAGGAGGTGCCGGAGAAGAATTCACAGGATGTGCAGCCACTGCACGAGGAGATCAAATTGCATTCGCAGCTGCGCCATCGCAATATTGTACAGTATTTGGGTTCACGTTCCGAGGATGGCTTCTTCAAGATCTTCATGGAGCAGGTGCCCGGTGGTTCGCTATCCGATTTGCTAAAGACCAAATGGGGTCCGCTCAAGGATAACGAGTCCACCATGGCCTTCTACTCCAAGCAGATACTGCAGGGTCTCAAATACCTACACGAACAGGACATTGTCCATCGCGACATCAAGGGTGACAATGTGTTGGTCAACACGTACAGTGGTGTCGTCAAGATCTCCGATTTTGGCACCTCAAAGCGCCTGGCGCGTATAAATCCCATGACTGACACATTTGCGGGCACACTGCAATACATGGCGCCAGAGGTCATTGATCAGGGCGTGCGCGGTTATGGACCGCCTGCGGATATTTGGTCTTTTGGGTGCACAAATGTTGAAATGGCCACCGGAAGTCCGCCGTTCAGTGAACTAGGCAATCCACAGGCAGCCATGTTTAAGGTGGGCTTCTACAAGAAGCATCCCAACATACCGGAGGAAATGTCTACGAATGCCAAGAATTTTATTTTACGCTGCTTTGCCATAAGCGTGCAGGACAGACCCTCTGCCTTGCAGCTGCTCGATGATCCTTTTCTGACAGAGTAAGTGTGTCAAGAGTTGCAGTTTATTCGCAGTTCTCATTTATTTTTGCTTTCTATTACAGCAAGCCACGCAAGCTGCGGCCTGCCTTGCCGATTAACACATCGGAGTTTGGACGCAGCATCTCCGTGCCCGCTGATCGCTTGGTGCACAAAACGACGCCGCCTCTGACCTATAATACCACATCGAATACACCCACGACTCCGGAACTTGAGTAAGTCCCAGCTTTATGCTTCTAGGTTTATATAACTAATTTATGTTTATTATGTTTTCACTTCAAGCAGCGTCTCACTTGGCACATCGTCGGTAGACATTAATGAGCTGAGCAGCACACAGAATTTCATTATTGAACGTCGGAACTCGTCTGGCTTTCTGCTATCGCCGGAGATTGAACCCCAGACGCCGTCCCTGCGTACCAGCATTAGCGATACAAGCGAAACGGATGGATTCTATCGTCTGAAAAAGGATTCGCAGCGGCGTACAACGCTCTCCAAAGTGCTAGCACTGGACGAGTCCAAGATCTGTGAGATTTGGGAGAAGAAGATCAATTCAGATCAAAATTCTATAGCCATACGCAAGAGCGATCTGGAGCTGCTTATCCGCGGCCTGCGCGACTACATTATGAACGAGAATGAAAAGCATTTGGAGGCGACAATCAATGAACTGAAGCAGAAACTGGATAACGACGCCATCGCATTGGATCATTTGCATCTGGCGTTATACTCATTTCAGGATGCGGTTGTCTGTGCGCTGCGGCTGCACTGTATCAAGCCGCATTGGATGTTTGCGCTGGACAATCTGGTGAAGCGCGCTGTTCAGGCGGCTGTCACCATATTCTCACCCGAATTGGGCGCAAATTTGGCGGATAAGGATTTGTCGGGCAATGATGATGAAAGCGTGCATAATGCTGGTCCACACGCAACGACTGACAGTCAGGAGAAGCAGCCACACGCATTGGATAAGCTGCTGCCCGGCAGCAGCAGCGGCGGTGATCAAGTAGATGGCGTGGGCAGCTCGGTGGAGTGTGTGCGCATTCTACGTGATATACGCGACAATCAGAAGCAGCTGCAGTTACAGATTATGGAACAAAACCGGCAGAATCTGCGCGCGCTGCACAACATCAGCCAGGAGCTCGCCCATATCTATATGGGCGGTCGCAAGCGCTTGAGGTAAGTCGCAATTGGGTAGAGAGAATATATTAGAATATATTTCATCTATTTGGTCTTTTCTTACAGGCGCACCTTTAACGGATTTAACAAGAAGTGCCATAGAATGAGTCCAAGCGGCGCGGGAAACGTTGCCGCACGGTCAGCCCAAAACGCCAATGCCCGCCGCCAGCTAACCAAGCACAATTTTGGTCTGCACGAGATAGACGAGCAATTGGAGCAGTGGCTAGCGCAGCATGACATTGATGAGTTCTCAAAGTCGCTCATACTGAATGAAGGTTTCACATTTGAGGATTTCATCTATAACATGGAGAAGCTAGATCTGATGCGTTTAGGCTTACGGTAAATTATACAGCAATTAACCCCTTTACATTAAATACTTAAATAATTGAATTGACTCTGTTTCAGCGTGGGCATCGAGGTGCGCTTGTGGAAACTCATTATACAGGAACGTGCCTGCACTTCGGTGTGCGTGGACAGTCCATCGGGTACATACCACGAGCCTGTTAACAATAATACCATCACAACCAATGCAACGGATGCAGATATTATAAGCCTGGCCAAGGGAAAGATTAGAAAAAGCGAAAGTGAATACGCTTCATGCAGCGAATGACTAAGCCGCCCCAGAAACCAAGTGGATTTAGAATAGAAATTAAATCGAGAGAGGAGATCAAGGGATCGATTGTTGTTGTTTTTAACTGATTCTTTTTTTTTTTATTGTAAATGTTGTATTTTTTTCATGCCACTACTAACAGTTGCACAAACCTAGGATTAAGCTTAAAGTTTTTCAAACGCCTTAAAAATGAATTTTCATATACACCTAATTGTATATAGGCAACTGTGTGCCTTTTATCTACTATGCATGTTTATTTATAAAATGAAATTTAAGTGCCTTTAAATTAAAGCAAAAAACAAACTAAACTACATTGTGAAAAAGAATTGCATACGTTTTGAAAAGTTCGATGCTAAAAAAATCTTTTTATTGCCAGCACTTCCTTCGATTCGGACATAATAGCATTTTCAGAAACATGGTTAAACTCAACCATATCTGATTTTGAGATATTACCGAATAACTTTATTTTGTTTAGAAATGATCGGCCGACTCGAGGTGGTGGGGTGTTAATTGCCGTTAAAGCCACTCTCCAGTCTGAACTATTCTGTTTTAGTACGCCTACTGACGCTGAGATTGTCTCAGTTAAGGTGTCTTTTCCTACACGGAATATCTATGTAACATGCTCTTATGTCCCACCTTCTTCTGATATTCAAGTTTATATGAATCATATTACTTGTATTAAAGAAGTTTCTTCACACGTGCGGGATAATGACCTATTATTGGTGTTGGGTGATTTTAATTTGCCGAACATCTCTTGGTCATTATTCACTGCTGAAAATTATCTAGTGCCCTCAGCACAGCACGATTTTTTAGACTGCATGCTTGATCTTTCGTTGTTTCAAATCAATTCAATTTCTAATCATATGAATAGAACACTTGACCTTGTATTTGTTAACGACTACCTTATTTCTAATGTGTCTAGGTCACCTCCTTTATCTCTTCCTGAGGATGTCTATCATCCAACTTTAGAGATTGCAATGCTAAATTGTAATCCTTCCATTTCGTGCTCATCAGCCAATAAGCCCCGCTATTGCTTTCGCAAAGGAAATTATTCCTTGCTGAATCAGCTTATTTATTCAACCGATTGGTCTTTCTTATATGACTCAGTTGATATGAATACAGCTATTAATTCTTTTTATATCACCCTAAACTCCCTCTTAGATGTGTGTATTCCTAAGTCAATTCCTTCGACTACTTTTTCAAAACCACCCTGGTTTACTCCCAGATTATCACATCTAAAAAATGTAAAATCCAAATATTTTAAAAAGTTTAAAAAGTCTGGTTCGTGTACAGACTTGGCTAAATATTCCATAGCCAAGTCGAACTTTTTTCTTCTTAATTCTCAATGCTATGAGAATTATCTAATTCGTTGTAAAAGGCAATTCGCCCGAAATCCGAGACAGTTTTATAATTTTGTAAACTTGAAGCGTAAGTCTTCAACTTTGCCATCTTCTTTTTTTCTTGGGATGGATAAAGCTAGCAATGACATTGATTCTGCTAACCTCTTTGCTAATTTTTTCCAATCAACTTACTCTTCAGTCTGTCCTAATACTAATTCTTACCCTTATACTATTTCCTCCGCTAGTTCTATACCTCCCCCCATTATTTCACACTCCTCTCTCCTATTAGCTATAAACTCTCTAAAATCTTCTTACTCTCCTGGGCCGGACAATATTCCTAGTTGTCTACTCAAGGAGTGCAGTTCTTCCCTTTTCTATCCATTGCTAAAGCTTTTTAATCTATCCCTTGAAACTTCTGTCTTTCCATCTCTTTGGAAAGAATCTTATATCATTCCTCTTCACAAGAAAGGTGGGAAGTCTGATATACAAAATTACAGGGGCATTGCAAAACTGTCTGCTATTCCTAAATTATTTGAAAAAATAATCACTTCGAATTTGCAGCATTTCTGCAAATCAGTTGTTTCCCCTGTTCAACATGGATTCGTAAAGAATCGGTCAACTACGACCAATCTGCTTGAGTTTACTTCCTTGGTAAATGATGCTTTCCTTTCGAAAATGCAAACTGATGTCATTTACACTGACTTCAGTAAGGCGTTTGACTCTGTGCACCATGACATCTTACTTTTTAAACTTGACCGAATAGGTTTCCCTCTGTCCCTTTTACTTTGGATTAATTCTTATTTAAAAGGTAGGACCCAAAGAGTAATACTGAGGTTGACTACCTCTAAAAGGGTTCACGTTACTTCTGGTGTTCCTCAAGGTAGTCATCTTGGACCTTTACTCTTTACACTTTTTATAAATGATCTTCCTTCTGTTATATCACATGCCCGTGTACTCATGTATGCGGACGATGTCAAACTTTTTCTATCATACACTAACCCCCTACATCATTCTCGTCTACAAGACGATTTGAACGCTATGCAACTTTGGTGTTCGGCCAATCAATTGCATCTAAATTGTTCAAAGTGTATGTTTATGACTTTTAATCGTACTACACCTTATCTTGTTAGTTATACAATCGACAATATCCCTTTGCAACGTATACTAACAGTTAAGGATCTTGGCGTTATTTTTGATTCTAAACTCTGTTTCAATCTTCATATAGATACCATTGTTAATGAGGCAAAAGGTGTACTTGGATTCATTAAACGATGGTCTAAAGAGTTTAACGATCCTTTTATAACAAAACTTCTGTACATCTCTCTTGTTCGCCCTATCCTTGAATACTGCTCTTGCATCTGGTCTCCACAGTATATCAACAGCCAGGATCGTATTGAATCTGTTCAGAAGCAATTTCTGCTTTTTGCCTTACGAGGTTTAAATTGGGACCCTAATCTTCGGTTGCCGTCCTACTCCAGCAGACTGCTTCTTCTCAACCTTCCGTCGTTAATCAACCGTAGGACAATTCTCGGTGTTGTCCTTCTACATAAGTTGATTATTGGCGACATTGATTCTCCTTTTCTGCTAGGGCGTCTTCAATTCTCTGTTCCGGCTAGACCAACCAGAAATTATCGCCCCTTATTACTATCTACGTGCACAACTGATTACGCTATGCACAATTCTTTTCGCGTGCTATGTAAAAATTATAATAGTTTGCATCACGTTTTCTCTACCGAACTGTCTCTACCCCTAATAAAATCGTTGCTTTCAGGATACCTTCGGGAAGTCGCTGACCATTCCCAGCTATGAGCAGGGGCATAGCTAGCCGGACAGGCTGAAAAATTTTCCCCCACCGTGTCGGTGATTTCCCAATAATTTTCTCTTTGTCCTATCCACTTAACACTCTTTATCTAACTTACATTGCTTTACTTTATTAACAATTTTCTTACTTTCTTTTTTCCTATTTATTGTATTTTCTTTATTAATTTAGCAAATTAAGATTATTTTTAATTTCACTTGAGATCACTTTTTTCCTACTTACAACCTTCTGCTTAGATGTAGGCTCTAATAGCGTCACTGACAAAATTAGCTGTGAAAAGGGGCACAGCTGGCCGGACTGGCAAATAAAACACCTCCATCGGTCGGTGATGCTATTTAGAAAATTGTATCCTTTAACTAGGCTATTAGAATATACTTATATTGTACAACCTTTTGAATAATGAGGAAGACACTCGTTTTGTCGACCATTAATAAATAAATAAATAAATAAATAAATAATGAAATGAGCTAACTAAATGATCGTTTTTGTTTGTGTGGAAGGGCCATAACATGCGGCTGAGATGTTAATGTGAAGCTGTTGGTTTACATTATAGCAGTAATTATGTAAACACTTCACACAATTGTTTGTAACAGCGTTTTATTTATACACTAACCAAATTGAGTTTACACTTTAGAAAAAGAGTCAACAAATGTTGCAGATTATGCTTATTTTTGAATGTGTGTAATTGTTTTATTTGCAGTATGTAAAGTTAGTTGAATCAGTTGCAATTGTACTTTTCAGCATAAATGTTATTGAAAATCTATAGGTTCCGGGCTCAAACGTGTTTCCATTTAAGGTTAATTTTGGAAAACAATTATGTAACTTTTCTAGTTCGTTTGCCTTTATTTTTTTTTAATAGATTTTTTAGTCTTTATTGACATTGCAGAAGCTTGAAATTGACATATGTTAGTTAACATAGTTATGTTATGTAACAAATTGATATTATTGTTATTCGAAAGCGTTTCGTTCTGTTGCTGCAGTTGTTCTTGCTGTTGTTGTTTTGTTGGTTTTGATGTTCTATTTGTTGCTGTTGCTGTTGTAAAACGTTGTTGTTGTTATTGTTGTTGCTGTAGTCTCTTATGCCTTGGACTCAGCCTCGCTAGCCGTCGCTGTGGACTGAGCATCGCTGGACTTGCCATCATCCACCTTGCCAAAGACACAGCATGGGCACTTCTCCTTCAGAGCCAAGCGGTACTTGGGATGACTAACAAATCGGGTGTTAGATGCACAGATTAGATTTAGATTTGGGTTATTTATTTACCTGATGCCGTATACAATTGGATTGTAGCAGGCAGCCGACTTGGCGAAGCAGGCGCCCCAAATGGTGTTCAATGGTGTAAGGCCCTCGAATTTGAACAGGCCCATGCAGTTGATGACCAGATATGGTGTCCACGCCATGAACCACAGCGAGATGGTAACCAGCGCGACTTTGGCCAGTTTGCCCTCAGCGCTCTTCTCGGCATCCTCGGACGAGCGCAGCGACTTGACATTCATCTTCTTGGCCTGCTCACGCATGGCTTTCTCGTGGGCAGAGACGGCCTGTGGGAGAAGTGTGTGAAATGGACAGATTTTCTCTCTTCGCTGGCCAACTTACAGCAATGATGAACCAGTAGGAGTAGCAGATCAAGAACAGCGGGATATAGTAGACAAAGATGGAGTAGAAGATCAAATATGAGCGTGGATTCCAATCGCGTTCCAAGTAGTCAATACCGCACGATGTCAGATTACCCTCCGGCACATATCTAATCAAAGCGTATATAATTTATATATATTTAGAGATTTTTACCAGCTATTTGACTTACCTGCTCCAGCCGAAGACGGGCGCCAGGCACCAAATGCTCGACATGAACCATATATAGGCGATCTTGCCCAATGCCAGTGGAATTGTCATTGGACGGCCGGCCATGCCCTTGACAATCACTTGATAGCGATCCAGCGATATCATGCACATGGACCAAATGGAGCTGCAGCCAAAGGCCGAGCCCAGGCCGGCATAAATGTCGCACATCATCGGACCCAGCACCCAGGTCTCAAAGTACAGATTAATGCCCATCATGGGCGTATTGGTAATCATGATGCCGAAATCGGATATTGCCAAATTGATGACCAATAGATTAGCAGGCGTACGCAACGATTTTGTTGTTGCAAATATATAAATCACCACGCCATTTCCGCACCAAGAAATCATGCCAATTATGATCATGTAGGCGGTTAGAATTTTCGCCCAAATGGGATCCATAGCGGGAAACTGATTCCAATATGGGCTAATTAAGTGCGCCATATCGGGTGTGACCTGTGAAAATGGATTAACTACGATTTAACCGACCTCTCCCTCTCCATTCATCTCTCTCTCTCTCACCTTGTCCACGACCGATCCATTGGACAGGGCGGCAAAGTGTGGACCCAGCTGTGTGGCAACTGCTGCGAAGCTGCGCAACAAATGTTTTACACGAAATTGTATTATCCATAAAGATTGCTTTGTCCCAGGCTTACCTCTCCATTTTGAATTTTAAATATCCGCTTTTGCACTATATCCCGGCTTTAGCTTTCACTAGCTTCTGCGACTTACATAAAAAGCTGCAAATTAATATTTATTTTTTTTTTTTGTAATAATTTTTAAATCTCTAACACTTTTTACAAATCTTTCCCTGAATGTTTTTCACTGGAGCGGACTATTCGCGGCGATTGGTTTTTTGAAACCTGCGTCTGTGCCTGGCTGGGACGCCGCTTTTATAGTTTATTTTCCTAAACAAACCAAATTCAATTAGTTCTTGCACTCAAAGGCCTAAAAATAAAGGCGTTAACAGCTTTTGGCTTATAAAACAAACCAAAAGAAATATTTCACAAAATATAAAATATAATAATGCCAACGATGACGCGACAACTGGCTAGCCCAATGTCAATAGTTATGGTTCTTGTTAAAGGTACTTCAAAGGTTTCCAAGCTCGAGATGTGCCCGGCTGGCAACGGGCCAACACTTGAGTTGACATTGTGCCACACGCAAATCAAAATAAACTAAGTGGGCGTGGAAAGTCAGCGATTTAATGTGTCAATGCAATGTGCAAATATGAAGAGCATAAACAAATCAATAAATGCACCGCACAAACCAAAGAAACTGTAAACTACATGCAAATGCCAGCAGATCGCAAGCACATTGACTTAACGTGGCGTATGCGTAATCTCTGCATGATTTTTTCACACATTGCGCATACGCACTGTGGCGAGGCTTTCATTTTTATGTTAGCTACAAAATTGATTGAAAATTGACTAAAAATTTAACGAAACTGAAGAAAAAAACACGTTCATTATTCGAATATATTATTTTTAAAAAAAGAAAAGTGGCATTTTATTATTTTATTATACGTTAAAAGCTAATAATAAATAAATAAATAGTACTTATTTATTAATTAATTTATTAATGCATACTATAAATAGTTACTAAGAAATCATTGTTACAATAATAATAATAATATTAATAACAAAATTAATAATAATAATAATAATAATAATAATAATAATGATAATACTGTTAATTATAATAATAATATTGATAATGTAATGGAATTAATAACAATAATAATAATAATAATAATAATAATAATAATAATAATAATAATAATAATAATAATAGTAATTATAATACATTTTATTATTTATTGGCGTCTTCTAACGATAACTAGCAAAAATATGTTCTGCACCAACTTAAAATTGAAAAACAATTAAAACGAATTGCTGTAAAATTTCGTTGATTTCTACAGTTTATGAATATATTGCTATTATTTTATTAATATTATAATTAGTGTTATTATTATCATCATCATTATTATATTATTATATACTTATTATTTTTCTAAATAATAATATTAATTTTGTATGTATAGGCAATCTAAGATGATCAATAATTTGGGATTATTATAAGCAGCATTACTTATTTCTTTTCCATTTATACTTATATATAAATATAGGGTCGATATATTAATATTCATTCTGTACACAAAATATTTTTTTCTTTTTAAAATTTGATGACAATTATGAATCACAAGTGCTGCTACAGACTTTAATCTGTCATTAATGCTATTTATATTCCTAGATCAAATCTTTAGCATTAAACGTAAGCTGTTTTTTCAGGCTGTGTGCCGTCAATAGATCTATTCGCACTTCAATTGTGACGCTCGTGTTGTATTGTTTACGTGTTGTCTCACATGTCAGAGAGCGTCTAAACAAAATGAGTGTGTGCGGGTGTGTGTGCGGGTGTGTGTTCGGGTGTGTGTGGCCCGCTAGGGGGTGTGGGCGTTGGGTTTTGTCAAATCTTCTATGGTGGCATCAAGCGCTTTGTTTGTTTTATGCGCACAGAAAAGCTCAACACGAACGCATCAATTGGGTCACAGCTAATCCGATGCGAGGGATGCTGCGGGAGCGGGCAGCGGGATGGTGGCACCCTTATATGGCAGCGGAACGCTAAATAACTGTCAATTTACGAGACAATCAGCATGTGTAAAGGTTGAGATCTTTTGGTTAAAATCAATTACCACAAAGCAGAGTGCGAGGCGGGCGAATAAGAAGAAACAGCAACGGGCAATAAAGATAGGAATGAGCAGCAGATCAAACAGAACGCAAACCGGAAGCTGCGCTTCGCTGATGCTGCTGATTATCATCATGCTCATTATGAGCATTTCGAACGTCATCACAGTAGCTACAACACTTGTTTGCGGTTAATCCGCCTGTCGCCTAGGGCTTTGCATGTGTGTGTGTGTGCATTGTGTGTGTGTGTGTGCGTATGTAGAAATTTTGAAAAACAAACGTGTAAATAATAAAAAGATGCCTCATCAGACAATTTTATATGACAGAGCAGAGCGCAGAATATCGAACATCATTTTGAGTTGCTTTAAACAAACAAAACTGCGCCCACCTGCAAAATTCATATAAACACACAAGGTATATAAACGAAACAGCGAGAAATTCCAAAAAAAAAATCAATTTAAAAAGGCAAAAAAAAAACAACCCAACAAAAAACCGACTGCAACAAACATCATGACACAAAAAGTCACAACAGAAATAAGTTATTTAGCATTAGCAAAGGCGAAATGAATGTTTCAGGTTTTATTCTTCTTCGACAAAATATGAAGTGGACACCGAATATGCGAACACTGTTCCATGTATACACTACACAAATTATAACCTAATAAGTTGAATTGATATAAGTGCAATTTTAAATTGAAATAATTTTATTTGTAGTTGGCCCTCTGTGCCCTTGACTTAATTTACTGAATACACAATTTTCCAACTCTTCTTGGCTGCAAGCTGTATGACGTATGATATATACCCCATGCTGCTAGCATAGCGTATAAATAACAAACACCTTTGCTTTGATTTGTGCTGTTTGCTTTTGTTGTTGTTGTTGCTATTTTTTATTTCCTTTTTGTTCGACAGCGTGTTGTGTGTGGGTACGGCAAGTGTTCTGCGTCTGCGTCTGCGTCTACGTCTGCGTCTGAGTGTGCGTGCTGTGTGGGGGTAAGTGAGAGAACAGCGAGAGAAAGAGAGCGAGTCTGGCTGTGATGGCTGCTGCTGCTGCTCAAAGAACGCCAAAGTAAATGGCGACGTTGGAGCTCTCATTTGCAATTGAGCGAACGAACAAGAGCGTATTAATGTGTGTGTGTGCGTGTGTGTGTGTGTGTGTGTGTGTGGGAGCGCCCTAATCGTCTGTTCTCAGTGTCATTAGCTGCTGCTGCAACAGCTGAGATCACTTCCACTTCACACTACGCTCGCCAACAGCGATGGCGACGTTAGCAGAGGCTGCAACGCAGACTGCGACAGCGACTGCGACTGATGTTATTTTCAGCCGCGAGCAGAGCGGCCAAAGATTTACAGTAACAACACGAAGCTAATCAGCAGCGTTTGGCGGTTCGCGTGCAGTGCGCTCGGTAAAAATTTTCTTGTGCTGAACACGGCAATATACTGTTAATTTTAGCGCACCGGTCAAAGATTCCAAACGAATATCACAAATACGGTTTTCCACCAACTTTGCCAGATGCATGCCGATATGTGTAAATACAGTAACATGTGTTTAGGTATGCGCGTGCGTGTGCGCGTGCGTGTGCGTGTGTATTGTTATTGTTTGGCTCAACTTTGATCGCTGTTAACTTGTTTTTCATTGGTGGCCAAAATGAAATGTCAAATTGCAAATTTCGCTTAACCTTTCGTTTGGTTTATTAATTAATGACGAAATTCAAGCAACGCGGCGCGCGTCATCGTGACTGTCGTCAGCGCACGCCTTTGGGGCATAAATGCAATTAAATCATTAATAAAGCCAGACAAACATCCAAATATACTCGATAGCGCCGACTCCATGCACACACACACACACACACACACACTCACACAGACTTAAGCACGTATGTTAAGTGCAGTAGAAAAGTGTGTGGCAAGCAGCACGGAAGCAGCAGCAACAGCGCCGGCAGCAGCAGCGACGGCGGCAGCGGCAACTACTTCGATATTTATTTTCGAATAAATAGTACAAAGTTGAAGAAGCAGCAGCAGCAGCCGCCGCCGCCGCTGAACGTAAAAACAAGGCAAAAATGCCGCCAACGGGCAAAGGGGCAGCCTCTCGATTTTTTCTTACGCGTGCACAGTGAACTGCAACTCATTTGCATTGCTCCAATTGGCCGGGCTGAGCATTTGTTAAATTAATTGCTGCAACAACAAAACAAAATATTTCGCACGCAAGTGTGAAAATTTATTTATTAGTTAGTTCCAACGATATGTTAAGTGAATTATGCACCCTTCACTATTGAAACTGCCCCAAAATAAATAAACAAATAAATGCCAAAATAAACAAAGTTAAGGCAGTCTGCATATGTACACTATAATACCTGCAAATAGGCGAAAACATAAAAGAAAAACATTGAAAATAATTTATGACCAAAAAATTAACCTTGACTTTTAACTGTTTTACAATAAACGTACATACAAAATAAAAAAATCTTTTTTTTTTAAGTTTATTATAATATTTAAAAGTATATATTGGAAAGTTTTGACTATTCCCAAATATTTTATTAATTTAAAAAAAAATAAAACTTTTCTCTTTAATTGAATAAATCTCATAAAATAATAAACAATTATTTACGCGTTCTATAAGAGCTTTTCCTTGTACATTTAAAATTGTACTCCAACCACTGTGCACAGTGTGCGCGTTTTACGTATTGAGATGATGCTCCGATCCCGATGCTAATGCCGCCGTTATATATATATATATATATAATTGTTTGTGTGTGTGTGTTTCCGAGTGTGTGTGTGTGCGACTGCGTCTACGTTGCGGGCTGTGTATTTCGGCGGCGTCTGAAATTAACGAAATAGGAAATTTTGGTATTTCTTTATATAAATAGATTTCGCCATACGGAGAAAAGTTAAAACGAGGAAAATGTGAAAAGTGAATGAAACGCACGAGAAATCTGTTAAAATCAAACAGAATTACATAGCCCACTGAGTTCTGAAATGTGGAACTGAATAAAATATTAAGAAAAAAAAAAAAAATAAAAAAACCGAATTCGGAAATTCGCTGCAAAAACGTCAGAGCTAAATCAAACAATAACGCACAGTTTTTGTTCGAGTGTAAAGAGAACACACAGACCAAATCGAAAATGTGAATATTTTTTGAAAATAAAAATTGTGCGTGAAAAAAAAACGAAAAAA